TGTTTCACCCCCACGCAAAAAGATGGGGACTGAGGTTCGTATTCCAGAACTCTACTCAATACTCAAGTCAGGACTTGAGTATTGCAGTGAGCGCTGAAAATCATACTCAAGTCCTTGCCATTAGGGTAGTATTTCCAGTGCTTGAAATCATACTCAAGTCTGCTCAAATCCTGACTTGAGCAGTGAGTACAGTTTTGGCATACGACCCATAAGTTTGAAGGCCTTGTCTGGGTATCTGTATATTTGTTTGTGGCATCGAAGCTCTTAAACCAATGGTCTCAAAGAGGTTTTTTTCTAATTCAAGAGTCTAGACCACCTCAAATGGCTTTGGTTGATTTCGACAACAGTGAAGTATTGAATCTATTACTTTGGAAAAATATTGAGGATATATACGGTGAAAACACAATTTCTAAAAATAATCACGATTGAAAAAAAAACACGAACTTACCAGGAAATTTTACAAGAAAACTTCTGTATTTATAGATAGTTTACGTATGCCAATGATTTTTTTTTATATCAACTGAACTAAATAGAATGCGTATACTACACGATATACATTTTTCTCGTACTAATACGGCTCATTTTGCTTGGACCGAGCGGTGGCCGGGTTTATTTCAGAATTTATTTTTTGAAACTATTTTTCCGGATTTAAATCGCGTATATTTGTTTTTTCAAACAAACCCATGGTCACGGTTGACTGGGACCTGTAAAGGGCCCGAAACGTCGGTTTGTTTGAAAAAACAAATATACGCGATTTAAATCCGGAAAAATAGTTTCATTTCCTATGTGTAACAATCGCGAAAACCTAAGAACTCGATAAATTTATTTTTTTACAAACGAAATTAAAGCTATTTGCAAAATGTGTATTGAATACTATACGTGTTGTATTTAGTGAACTAAAGTTTGTGTTTCTGAAGTACCTACCTATTCTTGTAAAATTTCGAGATAAGTTTGTGTTTTTTCTATCGTGACATTTTTTACGAGTCGTGTTTTCACACCGTATAGTAATCAGAATATATCCTCTATTTTACTGTATATTTTTTCCAAAGTGAAAGATTCAACACTTTCACTGTTACGCGGTTACCAAAGCCATTTGAGGTTATATTGACTCTCAAACATACGCAATCTCCGCTATGTTTTAGCTTATTAACGTGCATTAGAGTAATTACTTAAAAGGTCGTAAGGTGATATATAAGCTTCATCTTTATTTTTATGTTTGCCAAAATACTGTTATCTGTATCAAAAAATAAAACGTGACTTATAAATAATTATACCTACAACGATAACCTAGAATGTCATAGTCAACTATTTGTTGTTTTTATTATTCACTGCGATAGTTAACGTTTTATCAATATATTAAAATTACAAATAACAAATTCAAATTACGAGTTGACTGAATGTTAATTATAACATGTCATAATGATGTTTCGGAAATGGTTATTTGTTATACAAGGCTGCAAAGTTGGTTGTTGTTTGAATTGAGTATTTGTATTTGAAACCTAAGGGTTTCAAGCCACTTTGTTGCCGAGGGAAGTACACAACTTTTCACCTCACTATAGCAAGGAAAATGGTAGATGAATGAAAATCAGTTGAACTATTAACAAATCAGTTTTATTAATTCTTTCATCAAAAATGATTTCATAAACAAAATTAGTTATCGTTGTCAATTTAATGTCTACAATAATAAGAATAAAATATATCAACGGATTTCTATTACATAAATAATCTACGACAAATCGCGTTGTTGAACGTGCCATTGTGCGTTTTTTTCACCGAAAGATAAAGGTCCCCCTAACGTCCATCGTCAAGTTCAAATTCCAAAAACCTTTTCACGCTAGCGTGGGAAAAACACTTTCGCGCAGATGTCTAATGAGAACGAAAGCCTTTCCGAGGTAGTGACGTGAAAACTATTATTTCGTAAATAATCTTGTATAATTGGTTTTTTAAAACAAACCAATGTTTCTCTCTCACAAGTTCTAGCTTCGCATTTTAAGATTTTATTGTGTTGTTACCATTGACTTACAATTATATGGACGTCGGGTCCGCGCTAAAAAGTGTCCGAACTTATAGGGCGTTAAAATCGTATACAGAGCGTCATTCACGCTTTAGTCTTCGTTTGTTCGACTGACAGCGAAGCAAGCAAAATTAGACAGTACTGCGATGACATTACAATTTAAATTCAACGTTTTAGCTTTTTCATATTACTTTACATGTCACTACGTTTAAATAAGTTGACTTGGGACATTTTTTTCGTGGTTTTTGTATTAGACCCTTCGTCCATTTATTTGTAAGTCAATGGTTGTTACACCTTGTTTGTCTAATACACTGAATAGCTAGCTATTCTAATGACATATAATTCTTTAATTTCTACGCGAGTGAATAACTTAATTAAAACAACAAACAGTTGTGATGTTATTGTCATGTGCATGTTTATCAACGCGAGTATAATTTAAACACAATACGTTTTATTTACATTTGTGATTTTGGCTTTGAAAGATTACAGTATTTGGACACAGTGATCATTGTCGTCAAAACATCCTAAAAATATCTGTCGTAATATAACGGTGCTGAGGTCATTATAAGGTCACAGATTTGGTACAATCGTGTTTTGTAGCTCGCATACGCTGATAATGATAGTTGATAACCCAATGTTGATGATATTCCATGATTATATTGGAGTAAATAAATAATAAATGTTTTTCTCGTCTGCTAATGGACTTCATATCACTGCTATTCAAGAATAGTGATCCAAACCAGAATGGTGAATTTTTACACATTGCACAGATACAATCAGAGGGTTTTTAGTCTTTACTACATTGTAAACAAATTTCACTACGCATTAAGTCGTACTCGATAAATATCTGCGATAGCTGACAGCAATTTTTTTGTTCACGAATTCAGAGGAATTTTCTCGCCTTCAAATCAAAAGAAAATTTTGAAGATTGCGTTTAACGAATTATAGTTAAACGCAATCGTCGTTGGATTACCAAAGACGTCTTGAAAAATCGGTTTTTTGACTGTTGACGTTAGAGCAAATGTTCTTTATGGATTTAGATACATTGATATGGCAAACTTTAGAGCTTACGGCGATTTATTTATTTATTGTTTTTGTTTTAATTTTATTGTGAATAAGACACTGAGCTTTCTATTGGTTAAAATAATTACGTGACAACATAACTGCCGTGACAAGTGACAAAATATTTTTTTAAGATATCATAATAAAACCATAACCCTGTTTTAGAATATTGATATTGTTTGATGATATTTCAGCTACGCATCGTTGGGGTAAGTTCCGATACACGTTCGTCGTCTACACGTGGTTCGAGATGGCGTCGCGTGCACCCGCGCACGCCTCTCAGTGGGCTATGAAGGAAGGAATAGCTCCTCTCCTTCCTTCTTAGCGAGGTGAGCCCGGAAACGGGTAGGCACCGCTGGGTTTTGGAAGAATGCTTCGGCGCCCCCAAGACCCAGCACATGGTGCAGAGACGGGTGCCGCGGGGTTTTAGTGAGTAGGAGTCTCACATAATGACGGATTTCCTCGCGATAAAAAAAAAGAAAAAGAAAAAAAGTCGAACATGTTAACTAATTTTTAACTGTTTTTAAAAGATAATTTTGTGCTCTATCTCTTGCTATTTAAAACTGATATTTGACCATTTGTCACCTAGTCGCGTTTTGGTTAGTGGACGGCAGATAAAGCCGGTATACAATTTCGATACCAGCCATTTTGTTTTGTTGTTTCTTTTTTTTTCACAAAAATCGGAGAGCGTAATATTTGTAAAAAAATATGGCTGTTTACAAAAATAACATAAAATTAGGAAATCAAACTATTTTTCCGGATTTAAATCGCGTATGTTGCTTTCAACTGCCTCTGTGGCCAAACGGTTACCATGCCGGACTGCCACGCGGAGGTCCCAGGTTCGATTCCCGGGTCGGGAGAAATATTTGTATGGCCTACATTTATTTCTCTCGTGAGTTTGGGTGTAATTTGTGGTTGTCTATGTATGTGTCCATGGCACACAGGGTTTCCCTAGTGCGGGGCTATGTTGAGTGTGTGCGTTATTATAAAAAAAAAAAAAAAAATTGTTTTTTCAAATAACCGACGTTTCATTGACGTCTCATGGTCACGGTTGACTGAGGTGGTACAGTCTCCAACCAGTTATGTCTAATATTGATGCAAACTACCCTATTTTTTCACTATAGTTACAATAGTTATTAATTAAATACCTTATTTTTAATTTTACAACGAAAACATTCCAATTTACGCTACATTAAGTTTTACAAATTATTTTATTGAATGAATTTTTATTTTATTATTATTAATAATAATAGAAATTAGAATAAACTAAAACATATTAATTAGTACTGCAGTCTTATGTCTGTTTGGGATTTTTCATTAGAAGAAATACTGGATCCCAAACTGGTGGTACGGAGAAACCATCTTCCCTGTTAACAGATCCACTGTACGTCGCAAAGTTAAGATAAATATAGTATACCTGCCTGTCCCCAATTACGTCAATTTTTAATGTTCTTAAGGGATTTCCTGAATCCCGAACAGGTCCAGGACCTAAAAAATAGTGTCGTAAGGCAGTCTCCATTTTCGGACTATGATCCTCGAAGTTTAGGTAAAAAGTTCTACCTATTCAGATCCCTGGTAATTACTAACATTGTCATTCGAATGACAAATTAGTAACCTACTAATTTTCATATTCGAATGATCTGAATGATCATTCATTACTAAACCACCGTTACCGGAAAGTGCGCGAAACCGGATACCTCCTGTAGTTTGCCACCTTTTAAAGGTGAAATATTTTCTTCAAATGTCTCTACCTATTCCGATCTCTGGTAATTACTAACGAGTCGAATATTGAAATCATTCACAACCACGCATCGCTACCTTCTGCCAACTTGTTATTTCATTTCCTCGGGATGGTAAGCATTATAGTGTATGCCATCTTTACGATAGAAGATCATAACTAACAGCATCTTTTTCTCTTTTTCAGTTAATGCATACTCAACCAGTATGCACGAACAATGTCTGCTACTTAGACAATCGAGGGCCATCTCATGAAGAGACAGTGGAACGAGCCACCAACGCCATTCGGAGGTACAGCAAGCATCATGGCCGGCAAGAGGACAGGCGGCAAGTGCGCTCCGATAGCGACAGTGACTCTGAAAGTGACACTGAATGCAAGGGAATTGATAGAGTAAGTACTGTTCTAATCCATAACTTACACCAACGTTGCCATTATCTACGTTCAAATCTGGGAGTCACCATACCAGGGCTTCCTCACTCGCTCAAGGTTACGCGATAAGTGCCTACCGCCTCAGTCTTAGGGTCGTATTCCAGAACTCTTCTCAATACTCAACTCAGGACTTGAGTATGCTGTCAAACACTGGAAATACGACCCTAATGGCAAGGACTTGAGTATGATTTCCAGTGCTTCAAATCATACTCAAGTCATGACTTGAGCACTGAGTAGAGCTCTGGAATACGACCTTTAATTAATGAGCATTCGGCTCCGCATGACTGCACACGGCGGGCAACGCAATTTTCACCCCTCTGAGCGCGTGCTTAGGTGTCTTTTTCCTCTTAGTGAGCACCTGGTGTCATTAGTTACATTTAGTAGGCCATTATAGCGTAGGTATTTTCAATTTGGTATGAGAGTGATGTATCTGTTACATAGTGACTATTGTGTAATCTGTGACCAAACTAAAGGCGAAACTTTGATTTGAAGTAAATAAAAATAACAAACAGCAACTTTTTAAAATAATTATTAATACAAAGATCGAATACTCAGAGAAAATTCTTTCGATCCGGCCGGATTCGAACCGACGTCTTCTAGCATACCGTGGCAGACGCTATACCAACTAAGCCACGGAACGACCCAGCGCACATCACGAATTTTTGTATGTTCTTTTTGTCGTGTCTTTGTATTTGGTTTTTCAACGACTTTTTAGCCGTAGCGCCATCTATGAGAAATCTATGACAGTATTTCGTCACCCAGTTAGAGAACCTTTACAGCTACCAGCCCCGGCTAGATATGTTGTTATTCACTGTATTTAAATTTTTATTGGAATGATATTCAATTATTTTTTATGTGAAATTACTCCACTAGTTTGTTATAATTATTAGTACAAAGATCGAACACTCAGAAAAAATTCTTTCGATCCTTCGAAATTCTTTCGATTAATTTAAACTTTTTAAAATTTACAACACTAACTTTGCCTAAGTAAGAAAGAAATTCGTAATGCTTGGCGACAGAAATAGTACGGTGGCAGTACTTCCCTAGCCGAATTCTTTCAGAAAGAGCTCTACTACTTCAAAATTATTCGATATTGCTCAAGGATTTTAAAATAGTATTTTATGCCATCGTTGCATAATGAGGGTTTTTAAAGTCAACTTTAGTCCACGAGGCTTTGCCGTGTGGCCTAAGTAACAGGTGCGACATTTTGTAACCAAATAATGTTATCATTGCATACAATACTGTTTCAACAAGTAAATTAAAATAATGAAACATAGCCAATAAATATTTAGTGTGTATTTTGTAAACGCTACAAAGCGAAAAATCCGACGATTCATTGTAATAAAACAATAAGAATTAATTATAGTTATTTATAATTTATTTAATTTAATTATGATCTTATTAAACAGGTACTAAAATGTATCCACTTCAATAATCTTCGTTACATAATCTGTTGACTCGCTAAATATCGGAGCTAAAGAGCATGTCGCTTCACTAAAGTTTTAAGAGTCCTGGGGTCCTACCTTAGAGGGTGGAAATAATAATTATATTTTGCGACATATTAATAAAATTAATAAATCTCAAAATTGTTCAAAGGTTTTATTAAACTATTTTTTACATTGTTGATTTCACAAAATGTTGCCTAAAGATAAAAGACAAAACAGTATTGTTTTAAAAACATTAAGTATTTAAAATACCAAAAAACCAAGAACTCGTTAAAATACCAAAAAATCATGCTAAACAAAAAAATCACAATTTCAATCAAACAAAATTTTTTCAACATTGAACATGAGAAGTGTTTGGGTCATTTCGATGTTCTTTTGCGGCACGCCTACCACCTTATGGTCTTAATAGCCACCCATTATCAATAACCACAAGCGAACCAGTCATTCCCTGAGCTTTGTCACTAGCAAGGTACAAAATCAATTCGGCAATCTCCTCGGGAGTACTAAATCTTTTCAGAGCAGTCATTTCTGCTATTTCATCGGGGTTGACTGCAGCACCTGCGTTTTCTATGAAGTTGGTTAATACCGGTCCAGGGTTGACACTGTTGACTCTGATACCTGTAACAATAGTGTTTGTGCATTTTGAGATTACTAGGACGGAACATTGTAAGAGCAACATTGATGAATCGATTTCCCTGCAAAATAGTATATCTCTGCCACAAGTCTGTGTCTCATTACAGGTCAATAGCCCCCCTTAGACAGTCACTCTATCGCGCGTGATCAAGAGCGTAAGGCGTCATTCGCAATTATGAATTCAAAATTATAGTCATTTGTGTTGCGAGAAGGCAGAAAAGGAAAATAAAATCATAAATCATCCCTTAATTAAACGATCTAAGATGTTTGCTGTTTGTTGTATGCGACCAGTTTGTGTCGCTTTATGAAGATTTGAGGCTTTATCCCTATAACTTCTTTATTATTTCCGAATGTTGATCAGCACCTTCGATGGATTATTGGCAATCGTGAGCCCCACGAGCAGCCACGGCATTGTAAATGGCGCGCAATACAACTACACGTGCGAACGTGTCTCGAGCGTACAGTCAAATGGTCATTTGAAACGTATTGAAACGCACAGCTAACTGATTGCAGCGACGGCGTTTTTTAACTCCCGTCAGAACAAAAACACGGAATTCCGTTTGCTCAATTCAGTTTAACGTCCAACGTCAAAAACCGACAGTGCTCGATAAAAAAACGCTGCGTTTTAAAACCTTCTCCGTGTGAATAAACACGTGGATATCAATTTGTCTCTTTTCAACGATTTTTTGACGCCCGTTGAAAAAACGCTCCTGCGAATGAGGCCTTAACGGATTGCGCGCTCGGAAAGCCTGCACGCGCAATCGCGCGCGATTAACTGTTTGAAATTTTTTAAATTAGCGCTCTCGTGTTTGTTTTTGTTACAAGGGAAAGAGGTATTTCCCTTTTTCTTTTAACATCTTATCACGATAGAGTGTGTAAAGCCCGTTATTCGGTTGAAGATTTTAATATAGTGTCATAAAGATAATAATTTGCTTTGTGGTTTTGAAGTATACTATGTTGATCACATCGAGTATGTAACTAGAAATAGAGCCAAAATGTCATTTAATTTGTTTGGAAACATTAATGTGACAATTGCGCTCCGTTTGGCCAGTCGGAATTCGAAACAATTGACGAGTGTCGTCAATGGATGTCGTCAATTATTTCACTTCAAATCGACCAGTTAACTTGAGCTTTGCTATAATGGACGAAAATTGCAATTACCAATGAAATTTGATACCGTTTGTTTTGTAATTAGATGTTTTGCTGATTTTCCCCACGCCAGCGAATGGAACAGCACGCCCTTGTTAGAGATATTATCTTTATTGCAATAAATACATAACATTTTTGGAATATACGGAGACATACACACGGGTTAGTTGTTGGCGCTGTCTATATTTCAGTGCAAACGAGAGTTGGTATTTATAGGTGATGTATCACTGATGAGTTACCATGAATGTATGGCCCTTATTTCGTCTCTATTTCTGGTTATATACTCGATGATTAATCATTAGTATCTCTTTATCATACTGGAAAAACAATTTACAATCGACGTTTCACTAAATTCTGCCAAGTTACACGAGGACAGTTTGATCACGGACTTGTCTATTAAACTGGACCGCGCACTAAGTTAATAGAACGAGCCGAGTGAGAGGTTTCAAAGTAGTAATGCTTCTCTTTCTAATAAGGTTTTCATTCAACTTTTAGCCAGCCATATTTTTTTTAACCTTTTAGTTTTTATAGAAAATATTGTCACTTATGGATGACCAAAACTATTAATATTATTTCATAATAGAAGTTAATACTAATTTGATACGCTACTTCATAATAGAAGATTTCATTGTTGATTTTTTTCTTGTATTATTACAGTAAAAGCATATTACCTTTAAGCAAATATATATAACCAAAATTTAAAAAAGTTAATAGTCTAGACAATGTTCTAAGGACAGACCACATAAGTAACCGTGACTTTAAGAAGAAAAAAAAACTTTTTTGATTATGATTTATTTTTGTACGCAATCTCCTTTTCACACTGTACACCTTGACCAGCGATATCCCAAATTCTATAACCCATAAAAAATTTTTTTTTTGAAACTGAAAAATAAACCTCTATTTCAGCTATCACTTCCTCATTTGATGCAAATAGATAAAAATCATATTAAATAAATCAAATGGGGCCAAAACTGGTGAATATTAATAGTGGTATGGTGTGACAATAGTTCGTATCATAATTCGACAAACTAATTTAAAAGTTCGTAAGTTGCTTATTAACGAGTTCTAAATTAAGAAATAAAAATAAATTACGAATTCCGAAAAAAATTTTATTTAACCTTAAAATCAAGTAGGTATTTATCGAACCATCCTTATATGGAGCTCCCAATGTGTGAGAGAGGAAGGTAGTAAAGATGTTACTTAAGGCCTAATATGTTTTGTTCCCTAACAGTTAATTGAACCGTGATGCGTTACTTTATTTTTTGTTCAGAAGTTTTCAAATATCCCAGGACATAATTGCTCAAAGTGAACTGAAAGAACACTTATTACAAATACTTCAATGAAATGTCCAGTTACACAACGTTATTATTTGCTAAATATAAAACAACCTAAATGTTACATACCTTTAGGAGCAAATTCCATTGCTGCTCCTCTAGTAAAATGATCCAAAGCAGCCTTAGAAACATAATAAGGCAGAAGCCTTCCGTCAAACGGCAAAGAATTAGCCGCAATGCTTGAAGTATTGATAATATTCCCTTTAGTCTTCGCTAGATGTGGAACAGCTAACATAGTAAGTTCAGCTACAGCTCTCATGTTGGTCCTCATTAAAGCGTCGTAAGCTTCTAAGAACTTCCCATCAGTAAGCCCTCCATATTTGGCAAAACCTGCATTGTTGACCAGTACATCAATTTTGCCAAACTTATTTACGGTCTCATCGATGATTTTCTTAGCATCTGTAGTCACATCAGCTTTAAGAATCAATGATGTGGCATTATTTGGAAGTTTTTTAGCTACAGCATTCAGTTTTGTTTCATTTCGTCCTATTAGGGTTACGCTGGCTCTTTGTTCAGCAAACATTATGGCTGTGGCAGCTCCAATTCCGGAGCTTGCGCCCGTAACTATCACTGATTTCCCTGCAAACTTCATTATCGACCTTTCTGTTTTCTTTTCTTTTGGGTTCTGTAACGGCGCTTGTCCAAATTATATACAGATTTTTGTTTTTGCACTGCTACTTCAAAATCTTATATAATAATATATTATTTCTTTAACCCAAAAGACAATAGCGTCTCTATCTAGTACACGATTAAATATAAAGCGGCGGTAAGGAAACCCATAAATTTATAGTTACCTACATTACGGTAAGTCTCAATTTGATTGCTTATCTCTTAAATATGAAAAAAGTTTTGTTACTATCCAATATTGTTTAATATTCAGTTCCAAAATTTTATACTTGCTATTGCATTGATTTAAGTAATATTCTTCCATGCGTACCATTACGCCTGCCTCTTTCGTCTCATCCACAAGCATTAGTCTCTTTATACGTACTCGTTAATTCTTGGCATTTTTGATGTCCCCACTTCTCCGCTTTATGTGAAAATTACTCTTCATGTGTCACTTTATTATAGAATAATAGTCACAAACATTGACGTATTCCAAAGTACTATTATACTTATTGTTGCTGTCTAAATTTTAATTCTAATCTCGTCATTATAAGTTTAATTTCTCTACCCGTTGTTGTCGAAATCTAAGTATTGTGTTTACACGTACGTCATCCTCATCATCCTATTTAAGAGTCAGGTTCTTATCGATGTAGCCTCCTCCACTCCTCACGGTTCATAACCAGCTCCTTGACCTCTCTATATTCTATAGCCGTTCTTGGTCTTCCTCTCTTTCTTTCCCTTCTATCTTCTCCTATAACGTATTTACGTTTATTTATTAACATCACTGCCCTCGTCACCCGGAGGCATGAGTTGACAATTCCTATGGACCTGTAATTTCACCAGCACCCTTAACCTTCAAAGCCAGAACGCAGTAATGCTCACATTACTGCTTAACGGCAGAAAGAGGTAAAGTTACTTCCCTGGACAAATTCTTTCAAGAAGAGCTCTGTACTGTACTGTACCGGTTGGTATGATTATGCGAAGCTTCGTAACGATAGACGCTGGTCGATACCACCAATGAACATACGCCAACTTAATCTCTGTTTTTATTTTGTTTTTTGTTACTTTTTTCACAAAGTAAGAGATTAAATTAAAAACAGAAAATGACCAAAAAAAGCTTAAGAGCTACAAATAATACTCTGGTAATCAAGGATTTTGATGATGGTTTTAAACTGTCCAGTGCATGGAATCCGGTCCTTAGTGCGTGCAGTAATAAAAACAAAAACACCTCGAGTTCAGTTTCGCGTGTGGATACAGTGAGTGTGGTTTGTCTGAAAAAAGTGAGTGACAATGGTAACGCCACAACAAATCGCGAAGAAGGTAGTCGTCGACAGCGCAAGAGGGTAGACAGATATGTCTGCTCATAAAGCTGTCATCTGCCGCCGTCCAGTCAACCCGTGACCATGGAGCGTGCAACCGTTCCGAAATATCGGGAAAATAAAAAGAAGTCATACCGTGGTAAGAAACCTGATACTAGTGATAATCATTTAGTGAATAACCACGAAAGTCTTAAAATCTATATAATCAAGGATTATTTGGTGATAAATAATTCACCTTAATCGTGTTTTATGAACTACCGATTACGATGCGGCTATTTCAAATTTTATAGGTTCGACAAATGGTTTATTGTCTGAAATATATCTACAATCATAAACGTCGTAAATTATTTTTCACTTTATGATATCTAGTGTCTGGACGAACAAGTCGTGAGCCATGGTAAGCGACACGCCTCATCATAGCAGTTGTAGCGTAACTCAAAACTTTACTCGCAAAGATAGATAGATAGATAGATAATACACTTTATTGCTAACACATAAAAAACAAAAACAGTACATAGACAACTTAAAATTAATGTGGGCAAAGGCGGCCTTATCGCTGAGAGCGATCTCTTCCAGACAATCTTTGAGGCAGAGGAGAACTGAACAGAGAGGGAGACATAGTGTGCCAGTGATAAAAATTTAAACGCATGATTACACTTTCATATTATGAAATAATATCTGAGTCACCTTGAAACATAAAATTAATTTATGTATAATTTTTTTATAGATACTATGCGATATGTATTTAGATATTGTTGTTGCGACTATCGAGTATATAACCAGAAACAGACGAAATAAGGGCCATCCATTATTGGCACCTCATCACCTCATCAGGCAAATGGGCCTTATATCACTTTTAAATATCAACTCTCGTTTGCGCTGAAATCACAAATTAGAAAGCTGAAATAGTACAGCGCCAACAACTGACCTGTGTATACGTCTTCGTATACTCCAAAAATATTCTGTATTTACTGTAATAAAGATAATATCTCTAACAATGCCGTGGTGTTCTATTCGGTGGTGTGGGAAAAACTGCAAAACATCTAATTACAAAACAAACGGAATCACATTTCATTGGTAATTAAATATGCAATTTTTCAATTTTGGTCCATTATAGCAATGCTCAAGTTAAACTGGTCGAATTGAAGTGAAACAATTGACGACACCCATCAATTGTTTCGAATTCGGGCTGGCCAATCCGAGTGGAGTTGTCACCGTAATGATTTGGCAAAATAGTTTTCAAACAAATTAAATGACATTTCGTCTCTATTTCTGGTTATATACCTACTCGATGGTTGCGACCAAATTCGAAGCGCGAAATCCATGGTTCGATAGTTTTCCCATTCTATATGACCTGCAGATTTGAGTTCCGATCGGGGCTAGAACTAAGAATGTGCTACAACGCGATTTGAAAGTTTCGAACGGGCCCGTCTTTTCGTTGACTTCGAGAGTAGTTCCGTAGGCTCACGACATGTGGGCTTAGTGGTTGGTGGTAAGCGACGCGCCTGCCCATGATAGTTGCAGTGCCACACAGAATTTTAACCCCAAACCCGGGGGCCCTGTCTGTCATTCTCAGACGAGTTGACAACTCCTGTATGCCTATAGTTTCTGCTACTAAATTAGCTACGAGTACGAGAAAATGTATTCAGTATTGCCATAGATTACTTAATAGTTACAGACATGTAATAGCTACATCATTCTTGTACAAAATTGAAAATACCTACGCTACACTACACTACGTAGGCTATAACCTTCTAAATCTGACTAATGAAACCAGGCGCTCACTTCGAGGAAAAGGAAGCTAAGCACGCGCTCAGAGAGGTGAAAATAACGATGCTCGTCGTGTGCAGTCGTGCGGAACCGAATGCCCGGGTTGTACGAGCATTGTTATGTAAATAAAAGACTTCTCTGAGCGTTTGCACTGTCGGCGATCGCGTAACCTCGAGCGGGTGACGGAGCCCTGGTATCGCTCAATATGAAATATCTGACATTAATTTTATAACATCTCTAATTGCATAAATAATCATTTATAAAAAAATAGAAGAACATTTTTATAATTTCGAATTTGTTACAGTCGGACTTCTGGAGGCGGAAAATGCGAACCGTGCACAACATATTGGACGTAGACAAGGATGGTCTGATCTCGTACAACGATTTCCAGCTGTTCGCGAAGAGATTCATTGCGCTCGGACATCTGGATGAACAGCAGGCTAAGGAGTTTGTGGAGATTATTCAGGTAAGATATTTTTTTAATAGCTTGTCAATCGAGAAAGCCTATACTTAGCAACAGGTCACGTTGTACAAAAGTCAGATTTAAACCGCGAACATGGTTTCGATTTTATGTGCAAATAAATTACTTACTTACTAACTATTGAAAACACTAAAAACCCGGTACAAAACAGTGTACTTCAAAAAGTCAATAAAATCACCATTCGTAAAGTCACATCTAGGTATTTAATAACCCAAAATCCTGCCATCACCACACAACTAAAATGATTTAAAATAGCGCCTTGGCGCCCTGGACTTGTATCGATTCGCTTTAACATCGAATCGATTTCTAAGCAAATCGATTCGATTTATCGCACTAAAGGAAAGTCGTAACCGACTGAAGCCGAAAGGGCTGTCGAAGTTATAATTTTTAAAATTCTGTGGATCGATTCAGAAGCATACAATCCAAAAAATCGACTTTATTACGATTTAAAACAAAAAAATCGTGCATCCATTCTAGACGACCCAACTCATTAACTACTTACTTATTAGTGTTGTAATTATTAATACAAAGATCGAACATTTAGAAAAAGATATTTCGAACTGACTGGATTCAAGCCAAGTAAACCGTAGCAGACGCTATACCAATTAAGCCACGAAACGAACTAGTGCAAATCTTAATTTTTTGTTTTTAACGACTTTTTTGCCATAGTGCCATCTGTGAGAAATCTATTTCTTCACTCAGCCAGGTACCTTTGCAGTAGCTGACTAGAAATGTCGCTTTCATAATTGTAATTTTTAAGTTTATTGAATGATATGATGTTTGACCAACATGATATCCGATTACTTTTTGTGAAATTACTCCACTGGTTTGTAATTATTAATATAAAAATCGACCACTTAGAAAAAATTCTTCGATCCCGCTATATTCGAACCTTACAGTGTGTTTGGTCTAGACGATGGAGAGTGATTTTTTTTGCTAAAGTACACTGTTTTGCATATGATTTTTGTTTAAATTTTAATTCAAGATGTATCTCATTTTTAATGATGTTATTTTCCGTAATTGTTTGTGAAGTCTATCTATAAATCCACAGATGACCTGGGAAACGCAGTGGGGCGCCATTGATCCGTATAATTACGTTACGATGGAACAGTATTTAGAGGACATGAACCACGTGTTAAATGATAAAACGTTGAAGAAGAAAGCGCACCGCTGGTTGCCATATTTATTCAAGGTACTAATATTTTTTTTATTAAAAAGAACTGACCTTAATAGTTTGTACAATTACATCTATTTGCAAAGTTTTATTGAAGCCGGTTACCGGAAAGTGCGTGAAACCGGATTCATCCCCTAGTTTGGAAAATTTTCTTCAAATTTAAATGGGACCAATAACTGAGGTACCCTCTTTCCAACAAAAAAAGAATCGTCAAAATAGGTTCACAAATGCGTTTCGCGCGACATACATACATACAAAAATAAACAGTCGAATTGTCCCTCCTCTTTTTTGAAGTCGGTTAAAAATGAAATATTGTAAAATTATAATTGATTTCATTAAACACTGCGGATTCGTTTCCTGGTAGGACCAAATTGGGGAACGAACTTTTCAAAATTTTTGGTCTGGGTGTCCCGGGTGGTGCTTCGGAGTAATTCCTGAATGCTCTGTTACTTATAATAGTGGAAATTCCGTAGTTTGAGTACCTGGTAAAAGATGTGGCTGTCCGGCACAGTGTTCTTATGATCGTTTAACGGTCATTCTCGGACTAGAGTTCACTATTAATTTCCATGCCAATTTTTATTATTTAAATATTCAAGTATTCGTGTAATTGTTAAATAATATTTGACGATACATAATCTCGAATATTAAATAATATTGCACGGTAAAAAAATCGAATACTTAAATGATAAAAATTACCACGGAAATTAGGTTTTGAACACTAATCCGATAATGACGGATAAAGGAGATATAGTTATTGTGTGAACTCCACTGTTTCTTCTGTGAAATGTTGGAATAATTAGTTTCGAAAATTGTTTCTACACACCCTCACACTCGGACGTCCTATTTCCGGTTAGACCAATTTAGAAAGCTCAATTTTTCCACATTTTTGCACTCTAGAGTTACTTTTGTTATTATCTGGTACTCACAATACAGAGAATTTTTTGCTTTGATACCAGGTAATTGGTAGGATTGTCTTTTTTTTTTCTTAATGCTTATTCACTCTCACCTTGAAGTGGGACCCGTTGGAATATCCACAACATAAGGGTGGAACTGCAGCCTACGTCTAGTCCTCCAATTATGGAACAGTGAACACACTCACCGTAATATGTCCTGTAGAATAAATAAATAACGCAAACACTCATACCCCACTCTAAGAAATTCGAATCGCAAGTGCCATAGACACACGACACGACAAATTATACCCAAACTCAAGAGATAAATAAATGTAGGCCATAGAATCAAACCCGAGACCTTTGCGTGACAGGATTCTCTACTCTCGTTCTCCGTCCGAAACATTTAAGTAATACTCGACCATATTAAAAACCAAAGTAATTTTTTTATTTTAATTAAATGGACTTTCTCTTGACCACTACCTAGTTCAGCAGCTTTATTTTGATTGCCTCACCCGATCGAAAACTGCGTCTCTTCCAAGTCGACTCGAGTCATAATTGCGATTCACAACTGGTCGATCGGAAACTTTTAACATTTCTAATCGGAACATTAGTTGATTTGAGTCACAAATAAGAAAGCTACAGTTGGAATCAGGATATGGGAATTCCATTTCTGGGCTGTGCGCATAATAAAAGATGACGAAAAGCCCTTAGTACGCTTGAAGGGAATATCGACCAAGTAAGGATGATATACCGCCGTACGTCTGGATGTCCGATAGTAAAAGGGACGGGCGGGACGAGCTGATTGATGCTCATTTGTATACTCACCGAAATATATTCTGACAACCGACAGGCGGGCCACTTTGCGCCGAACGTATGAAGCTTCATTCGTATCATGCGTCTTTCGACAGTAAGCAATTGTTTCGGACGGAAGTCCGGACGGAGAACGAGGGTACAGGACCGGCATGGGAACCGTTCGGCCACGGGGGCAGTTGAATATCAATAAACAGCCAATTTTATATTATTTGGTTTTTAGTTCGGGATTTAATCATGTATTATAAAACTGGCCGAACGGTTACCATGCCGGACTGCCACGCAGAGGTCCCAGGTTCGATTCCCGGGCCGGGCGAAATATTTGTATGACCTACATTTATTTCTCTCGTGAGTTTGGGTGTAATTTGTGGTTGTCTATGTGTGTGTCCATGGCACCCGCGACACAGGGTTTCCCTAGTGCGGGGCTATGTTGAGTGTGTGCGTTGTTATTATTATTATTGTTATTATATTCCCATCATCTCGACGTTTCGGACGTATTGCAACGTCCATGGTCTCGAAGGGACTGAAGAAGCGAGTGTCAGCATCTTCTAGCCGTGCGAGTTTTTCTAACTACCCTAATATTACTATTCCCGAATTAAAAATCAAATAATGTGTGACAGTTCAAATCAAAGACCATTTTACGTCCAGTGTTCGAGGCTGTCTGGCGTATTATTAATTTTTTTTATTTTAATTACAGGCTCTCGACAAAGACAAGACTGGCTTTATCTCCGTGAAGGAGTTTAAGTTGTTCTTCGAGTGTCTTGGGCTCAACAACGAGCACGCGGCAGTGGCATTCGCCGTCATCGACCACAACGGGGTAAGAATATTGTAATTTTTTAATCGACTTCAATAAAAGGAGGTTCTCAATTGGACTGTATTTATTTTTTCTTGGAAAGAGGGTATTGGTACCATTTAAATTTACGTGTAAGGGTGGCAAAATAGGGGATGAATCTGGTTCCGCGCACATTCCGCTAACCGATTTCAATAAAACATGGCAAATAGATGTAATTTCACGAACTTTTGAGGTCGGTTTTGTTTATAAAAAAGTAATTTTTTTTTTATCTTTCAAGTTCTTCGCAATGTATTATTTTTATAAAATAATTTAACATTCTTAGAATAATAACGCATAGAATGATAGTATTATATCAAACGAACTGTCACAAGTGAGGCAAAAATCAAATTCATGTAGGCTAGTTTTAGTAGTAGGTTAATTTTCGGTTTTAGTGAATATTTATATAAAAATACAAGTTGAAACGCGTTACTTCCTTGTGGAATGTGATGTTAGTATGTATTTTATGTTGGTCTGACGTATTTTTACACTCATTTACCGCACATTTCGTCATTTTTAGCTAAAATTCTTGAGCTGTTCGCGTTGCAAGTTGACCTTGAGCACTGACCGCCCGCCCGCTCGTGTAGGCCCATTGGGAGCGCTTCAATTTGCCTCACTTAGCGTGTGCGGACTAGGTTTCTATGCGTTATTCTAAGTGAACATTTTTATAAAAAACAAAACCGACCTCAAAAGCCGCTATCAGTGTTCGCTGTATTTGTTACATCTATTTGCCAAGTTTTATTGGAATCAGTGAACGGAAGGGTGAAATTCAATAAACAGAATTTTTCCCCTAATTTCCCACACTTAGAGGTGGAATATTTTCGTACCCCCTTTCCTACAAAAAAAAAAATCATTTAAATCGGTAATCGCGTAACAAACACACAGAAAAAAAATACATTCGAATTTAGAACCTCCTCCGTTTTTGAAGTCGGTTCAAAATAAGTGGGCATTTGTCCCCTCATTAATTATTTCATTACTTGGTATAATATTTGAAAGAAGTAAAATACGTAGTAATTACAACCGTATTAAATAATATTCTTGGATAGTATTATAATAATAACGCACACACTCAACATGGCCCCACACTAGGGAAACCCTGTGTCGCGGGTGCCATGGACACACACATGGATAACCACAAATTACACCCAAACTCACGAGGTAAATAAATGTAGGCCCTACAAATATTTCTCCGGGCCTGGGAACCGAACCTGGGGCCTCTGCGTGGCAGACCAGCATCGTAACCATTCGGTACGGAGGCAGTTAAATATAATATATAAATAATAGGATAGTTAGGATGCGTTTCTACATCCGAGTGACATTCCAGCCGTTTAGCACTTAATACCGGACTTGGCAGTTAATTTATTAATGCTTTTTTATCTCACCTTGCTTATCTTTAAATAAACATTACTTTGCGATTGACGTCATTAGAATATATTTATACAAACTTTTCGATTCTTTATCAAAAGTGATAAATGTAAATAAATTACAATACGTATATAAAATCATAATATAATGAGATGTTGTCAGATAATTTCTACACTTTTTTAAAATTTCTAACTATAATATTTACCTTGTTTCAGGATGGCAAACTGTCCCTGAAAGAATTTGTAAAACTGGGGAAGGACTTCTTCTTCACAGAGGACGAGAAACGGCCCTCCAAGATGTTCTGGGGACCACTGTCCAATGTGTGATCGCAGCTTTATAAAAGCGCTGTATAATGTCTGATCACATGTTTGTAGTAGCTGACGAATGTGTGCTCGCAGCTTTATTATGTGACAAGAGTGATTTGATTTAGTAGCACGGGAATACGAAGTTAAAATGACGGAATCTACGGCCGTAGTGTTAACGGGAAACCTTATCGATCTCTTTCGTTACTTTACGGCCAAATTTCTTGATTTTAAAGATTTTTTTGAGTAATTTGATCGATTTCTTACCTTACGTTCGTCAATATCTATAGTTGCGTTACGGTATCAATTTCTATCATGTCACCCGTATGCACGATTTTTTTTAGTACTTTGATCGATTTCTTTCACAGAACGACCATCAACGATTCTCATTATCTCTTTGATTACGCTACAGTACAAATTCCTATCATGGTACTTTAAAGAAAGAGTTGTGTCAATTGGAGATCTGTAGTAGATAGATATTGTATACATAATATACTAAGTCTTTTTTCTTTAAAATTAATGCAACATGCATAATACATAAATGACAGTACAGAGATATTTTTTATCTCTTTCTTTTTCTATAATCTTATAATGAGTTATTTTTGATTGTAAGGAATTACTTATAGATCTATTGGATCTATTCTAATAACTTGTCGGTTTATAAGACCTTTTATTTTGTAACTTTAAACTCGTGTTTTAGTCATTAAGTTTAATTAGATACAATAGTAACATAAGTTACTCTAAAAATAAGAGACAAAAATAAAAATTGACTATAATTTAAAAAAAAAAAACAGTTTTAATGGGTAAATAAAGCAGTGGGAAGTAGCTTTACGTAAATTTTTACAATATTTCTAAGTGACAAAAATAAAGCTTTTGAAAATGAGAAAATATTGTTTTGTGAAAGTTGTTTATAACAAAATATTAAATCTACAACAATTTTAACAATTGTATTTTCAATTCGTAATAATTATGGACCAATTAAGTTATTTTTGTATAACTATTCCTAATTAATATGTTCTAGTGTTTGTCTTATAGTATTATAAAAATATCATTCGTTATTAGAATGATAAAAAAATAACAAAAAAATGTGACAATGACTTTTAAATGAAATCTCAATAAAAAAAATAATGCAAACAAGGTTGTTTTATTGTTACAAGCGAATTAAACTCGCCAATCACATGGTTTTAATAGTGATACGAAGATTATAAACAATCTCGGTAGCTCAACGGTTTGCACCGTAGACACTGAATGACGATGTCACGAATTAAATTCCCGGTGGAACCAATTTGGGAAATGAACTTTTTTGGTACTCAAATTTGAGATTAAAGAATTGGTGAGATTGTAAAAAAAAGATAATAATTCCACGATTACATGAAATCTTGGACCGATACCATAGTACAAATGATAACTATGAAAAAGGTAAAAAAATCCGTGTTATATCCAGATGGCGCTGATCAATAGCCTGTGGTTTATATTATGTAAATGCCGTTATAAGTTAATGCTTCCTAGTTTTTTTTAATATAATCAAGTGGCGGGATGAACAAGTCGTGCGCCTGGTGGTAAGCGACACGCCTATCCATAACAGTTGCAGTGCCACTCAGAGCTTTAAATCGCAAAGATTTTAGGGGCACTGCACCCGTCACCCACATAAGTTGACAAGTCCCTTGTGCCTTACCCTTCAAAACCGGAACGCAGAAAAGCTCACATTACTGGTTGACGGCAGAAATAGGTAAGGTGGCAGTAGTTCCCTGGACGAACTCTTTCACAAGGAGCTTTACTGCTGAGTAAAGAACGTAATGTCTGTATAGTGTTACAATGCCATATGGATATACAGATGGGCTCTTCCACTCTTGAAGGGAGGTGCGATGGTGGAAACGTGATTGTAGAAACATACACTGCATTCGGCCAGCGTAGCGGACTAAGGTTCAAACCATCCCTTTAGAGGAGATCGTACCCAGCAGGGAGATGTATAGAGGGTTGGTGATAATTACATAGTGCGTTTATAACATGAATTGGACTGTAAAAGGTTGTGACGATACGACGTCTCATCATCATTCCACCTTTTCATCATCCTTTTCTGGTTCCTGGGGGCCTACCACAACCTCTTAAAACAATATTACTGTTGAAGCGAAGACAATTATTGCAACAAAATTTGTGCGCCTGACGGTTTCACAATAGCAAACGTACACAAGCCAACTTATGCAATTTTCTTTGTAATTAGCTTATTCCATTCGCCAATACACGGTGTTCCCTTTTTTATTTTCACAAGTCTCTTTTATTTGGAACTTCCTGAAATTCCCAACAATTCATTTAACCTTACATTAACTTTTCGTGTCATGAAGCGCTTAAAGTAAGCTTATTATAATGTTAGAACTATGATGTTTTATTGGCAGCTTTGTGACTATTCATTCACTCAGTTCGAACTATGACGCGACTATAATTTTAAAGCAATATTGTTCTTATGTCAAATTTAGCAATCTAAAAATATTTACACGGATGCAATGGAAACAATATTATTTTGGAATTTATTGTCTAAATGTTGTTTTGTAATGATTAAAACTTAAGTTGAACTTATTTATTTACATATATCTCTTCAATATTTTGTTTATTTTTTTATTTAACAGTACATAGGAAATAATTTCTCGTTAAATAAAAATACGCGATGTTAATTCCGTGAAATTATGACAGTTGACACTAGCCTATAATTTGAAAGGTTATGGTACCACTGGCCACCTACTTTGAAATTTCGAATCGTTCTTCAATTCCTTTTCTTCGTCCCTCACTACAAAATTTCCGAAAATAACGCTCTGAAAAGTTATACCATTGGAAATCAAGTAACCTAACAGCTTGTAAAGCATAATATTTGTAGATTATATAGGCTCTTTTGGGATAAGTTCCTTTTTTACCGTGTCTAGCCTGTTAACCTGTAAGCAATTTAAGTAGGGAGTGTTTTTATATGAATGTACCTGTGTTTATATCGTTATTTTGTTTTGGTACAGCCTTTACGCCGTTACTTTGCCTGTTGTTCCTTTCTACCTTTCTTCACCTTTTCCCTGTTATACTTCTACAATCAATTCATGTGGAGTGAGCGTATTTTCCAGCAATATTAGTCAACCCCTCGGCCACAAGGGGTATTAAAAAGGTTCGATGATGTTTCAGCCCGGTGACCGGACTTATTAACAACAAACATGTTAAGCAAAAAATTAAATTTATTTATTTCTGTGCGACGCGTCTGACAGAAATTGAAAATCTGGCGTCAACTTAAATGTCAGAGAGGATAATAAATTAGAATTAAAAAAGAAATTAAAGATGGCACTTAAAATTAGACTATACTGAGTTGATCCTTGAGTAGCTTCGTTTCTTCAATAAGAGCTGAGATCTGGCTCGTCCTGTAATAATAATACGTGTCAATTTCCATTAACAGTTAAAACCTACCAGTGGCATGAGTTAAAAAGACCAAGGTTTTATTTTTATTACTTATACAGTAATTTACATCATTAACATTTTCATCAATTTTGAATAAATTAAACGCCTGACAATTTTTTCCGACGAAGCAAAGTAAAGTAAAATACAGTCTGTCATTTTCAGCCCCACGAAAAAACAAACTAATTCTTTTGTTAAACAGTGTGTATCGTCAATTTTACTATATATTTTTTTCAAAGTGATTCAAAACTTTCAGTTATGCGGTATCAACCAAAGCAATTTGAGGTTGTACGAGGCCTTAAGTAAGTGGTTAGGAGTTTATTCATATTGATTGCGACGCAACAAGTTTCAGCAGAGATTTTCAGTGACCCAGTTATGTCTGTTGTGAATTTCTACTCTTTGCCACTCGTACTCATTATTAAGGACCCCTGATGAAGCGAAATAAACAGGGAAATGCATATTTGTTGTAAATACTCACTGTTGCTGCAGTATTGAAGATATGGTGTCGCTATGGGATTTGCCAAGCGCAATATCTTTCCTCTTGTATTCGTCCTGCCATTTCTTCAGCTGAAATGAAATAGAGGGACCTTTGATAATTATAATCTACATTGCCTCTTTACACTGTAACTAATCTTATAAATGACATGTGAATTTTTAACCAAGAGACTGAAGTTTTATTACTTTTATTATTTTAAACGGATCTCCAGGCAAATTCCAAGCAATGGCCAGAGTAGCCAGACTTTTGCGAAGTTAATTCGCTAATTTATGTGTATTAAGTAGCCGACTTTCGTCCAAGCCATAAAATCCCAAAAACTCAAGGAAAACAATTCTACAATTCTTGTTGCTGCCGGAAATTGGGGAATATGAACTCTCTTATTTCCCCCAAAACTCAAACCCTCAAATGATTTGTTTTACAACTCTATTCCCCACAAAATCCCCAATCAAGTTTGTAATTTCCCAGACATTTTATTAAGTAGCCTAAAATCGCCTTTTTCCTATTTCAAACGTAGCCTAAATATCGCCGAGTCGCCGATCACTTTTTTAGTCGCCACACGACCCCTCGAAGTAGCCTAAATGGCGAAAAATCGCCAAATCTGGGACCACTCATTATGGCGGCTATTTATTGACAATAATTAAGTCTATCAGCGCAATAGTGGTGTAATCATATTCATTTTTTTCTGCAATATTACCTTCAATGATACTAATAAAAAATATTTTATTATAATTTTTTTTATGCATGAAAAAGCATTCAAATACTATCTAATTAAGTTTTATTGAATGTCAGGGACATTTCAGCATCAAGAAATTCAATTATATTTTGTGAAATTACTCTACTAGATTGTTATCTATTATAGTGAAATTTCTTAAATTTAATTTGTCATCAATTCGAACGATGTTTTCCTTTACTATCGTTTGTTGACTGAAGAAAGAGATTAACAAAGACGTTTAAAACGTTAACAGAGAAGTTTACGTTTTTTTCTAATACTAAAAGGACGAACGCGATCTACCTCTTCGCTTTTATCGTTGGCGTGGTCCTTGAGCGCGCGGATCTGCTGCTGCAGCCGCTCGGCCTGGCGCTTGTAGGTGAGCAGCTCGGCGAGCAGCGCGCGCTCGGCGGGCGTGGCGGCCGAGCACGCGCGCACGCCGCGCAGCGCGGCCGAGCATCTGCACGCCGAACGATTTCAATAACAATGAATTACAATTAAAATCCGAGTATAGAACAGTGGCGAGGCGTCCTTATAACTCAATTCTCACCGGCTCGCCTAAAATTTTCCGCGTATTGCCAAAAGATTGAACCGCCATTTAAAAAACATATTCTAAATATTCACTATTAAACGCGAAATAACTTGCCCCGATGCATCTTAACCAATCAGTGCCAGGTAAGCCGGCGGATCAGCGGGTTCTATTTAATTTGTTTTAAATAACGCACATCAACATAGCCCCGCACTAGAGAAACTCTGTGTCGCGGGTGCCATGGACACAGACATAGACAACCACAAATTACACATAAACTCACGAGAGAAATAAATATAGGCCATTCAAATATTTCTCCCGGCCCGGGAATCGAGTCTGGGACCTCTGCGTGGCAGTCCAGCGTGGTAACCGTTCGGCCACAGAGGTTGTTATGCGCTCCCATAAAAACACACGCTTATAACATCTAAAGAAATGACGCCCGAGAAATCGGAATAAATTAGGTTCTAGTCGAATAGCGTTCACGTCAACTTTAACTTTATACCAACAAAGTATAGTTCAATTTGTTTTAATGTTAGAATCGTTGCCAGATGTGAAGCTTTCTTAAAATAATGTAACAAATTTGTGATGATAGCAAATTGTTGTATTAATTTAGGAATAGAATTTCCTGCCTACGACTGTGTTTCCGAGCACATACAACCCGAGTATTCCGAACGTGCGACTGAATAGGCATCTTCTGGGCGAGCTCGTTCCTACCCTGTCTTTGCTTCACGGCTAGGTAGTAGTCAAGAGCGAGTCCATTAACCTTAAAAAAAAATTTGATCTCAAACTAAAGAATTCTCTGTTCTATGAGTACCAAAGTAACGGCATTTACTTTGGAACTACTCAGACTACGCAGACCTGTTTTGACCCTGATTAAACTTTTTTTCTATGTCAACACACTTAAAAACACACATACACACAAACAAATACTAACACTGCACAAACAATATTTTTCCTATTTATATTACGTTTTTTTATTCCTTGGTAAACTTTAATTTAAATGCATTGACTTACAAATAAATGGACGACGTGTCTAATACAAAAACCACGAAAAAATGTCCCAAGTCAACCTATTTAAACGTAGTGACATGTAAAGGAATATGAAAAAGCTAAAACGTTGAATTTAAATTGTAATGTCGTCGTAGTACTGTCTAATTTTGCTTCCTTTCGCTGTCAGCCGAACAAACGAAGACTAAAGCGTGAATGACGCTCTGTATACGATTTTAACGCCCTATAAGTTCGGACACTTTTTAGCGCGGACCCGACGTCCATGTAATTGTAAGTCAATGTTTAAATGGATAATTTAGATATCGCAATTATCAATGTACAAGTACATAATTCCAAGTTGCAAATTTGTATTTTCTAAGGGGTGGAGTCCTGGTGACCTGAAATACAGATCTGAAATACGTCTAGTTTAGGCACCTGTCTCCCACACTATAATTCTTTTTTTAACCGACTTCAAAAAAAGGAGGAGGTTGTCAATTCGTCTGTACGTTTTTTTCGTATGTATGTTACGCGATAACTCCGCTGTTTGTGAACCAATTTTGATGATTATTTTTTGTTGGTAAGAAGGTACCTCAGATGTGGTCCCATTTAAATTTCAAGAAAATATTCCTCCTCTAAGCGTGGCACACTAGGGGATGAATGACTTTTGAGGTCGGTTTTTTAACCGGAGGTTAGGTTAGGTTAGGTTATTTTATTATCTATATTGTGGTGAGAAAATAAACAAATTTATTATTATTATTATTATCCAGTTTAGCAGTAGAGCTCGTTGTGAAAGAGTTCGTCCAGGGAAGTACTGCCACCTTACCTATTTCTGCCGCCAAGCAGTAATGTTAGTCTGCACTGTGTGTCTATTACTGCGTTCCGGTTTCGAAGGGAAAGGCACATGGGATTTGTTAACTTATGTGGGTGACGGGTGCAGTGGCAGCTAAAATCTTTGCGATTTAAAGCTCTGCGTGGCACTGCAACTGTTATGGGCAGGCGTGTGACTTACCAACAGGCGCACGACTTGTTCGTCCCACCACTTGGTATTATATAAAAACAAATAATCTTGACAGTCACCACTTTGTTTGACATACCAGACCAACGGACCGGAATCTTACAAAAGTTCATTTTCCAAATTGGTCCTTGCCTACAGTGCAAGCCGTTGTGTAATGATAATTTTGGCCATTAATTATAATTATACCATAAATGTGGTGTGAAGCCGGTGTTAAAATTTTTAATATAAAATTTATTTATGTGTGGTTTTAAACTAGGTTATTAGATATGACGTCTACCAAAATCGAGAACGTGAGAGAAAGTTGAAATGTGAGCAACAGCAAAATTGTTAAAAACTGAACCATACGGCATTTACATAGCGATCAAATTTGTAGCGTAGTGTACCTGTATTTAATGTCATCTTGGTGTTTTTCAGCTAAAGCGCATTTCTCTTTCAATGCCGTAGATTGATTTTTCACGTCGCCAACGTCCTTCTGAAAGTAGAAAATAAATTTGTATTTTATTTTTACTGGGCTATCACTGTTCGGCTTGACTGATTAGACCAGGTTTTCTTAACCTTTTTCTAGACAAGGACCCCTCTCAAAATTTCAGAAAGACCCTTTCTGAAAGAAGAAAGTTTTGCATTGGCGGGCGTATCGTTCGCAAGGTCACGGTAACTATTTAAACACAACTTATTCTATACCAATTTTTAACCGACCTCAAAAAAAGGAGGAGGTTAAGTTTGACTGTATGTTTTTTTTTGTATATCACGCGATAACTCGGCTACTACGGCATTTGTGTACTGATTTTTTTTGTTGGAAAGATAGTACTTACATCTATAGACTACATCAGTATTGGTCCCATTTAAATTTGAACAAAATATTCCACCTCTAAGGATGGCAAACTAGGGGATGAATCCGGTTTCGCGCACTTTCCGGTAACCGATTTGAAAAAAAAAAGTAATTCCACGAACTTTTGAGGTCGGTTTTTTTGGTACTCTGCACTGAGATTATTATACTAATGCATTTGATATGTTAGGTAGGCTCGCCCATGAACCTCCAGCGTTCATTACACGGACCCGTTTGTGGTTCTTAGATCACAGGTTAAGAAACTCTGGATTAGATGGTAATTTTCGGATTAGTTTTCTCTACCTAATTTCGGTAGAAACTTTTATTATTTAAGTATTCAAGTATATCATCATGGAACATTAAGTAATATTTAAGTACAAAATAAAATGGCGGCCTAAGCTCAAGTGGTGTCGATTATCTCGCACAAAACCTGGAAAAGTGAAAAAAATGCCTTATTTCGTTTCTTTGGAGTGCAAAAATGCTAGACGCAATTGTAATATTATCTATGGTGGTGATTCGTATCATCACTAAGTCTTATTTTATTTGACTGCCTCCGTGGCCGAACGGTTACCATGTTGGGCTGCTTCGCAAGGGTCCCGGGTTGGAATTCCGCGCCGGGAGAAATATTTGTATGGCTTACATTTATTTCCCTCGTGAATTCGGGTGTAATTTGTGGTTGTCTATGTGTGTGTCCATGGCACCTGACACAGGTTTCCCTAGTACGGGGCTATGTTGAGTGTGTGCGTTATTAAAAAAAATAAATAGAACCCCGGCTTACCTGGCGCTGATTGTAATTAGTAATTATTTGCTTTCAAATAATAATAATTAATAGATCCAGTCGTAGTCCATGTCATATAGCATGGGTACGCTACGCTGTGATGGCGTTTCGTATCGTCAAAAAGGTTTATTTTATTTAATTTTAATAAATTTTCAATGTTCTGTTTATCGTAATCATTTTTCCTTGCGTTGCTAGAATGAGGTCGCCTTTTCTTGGAGAACTAAGTAAACATGTAGAATTTGTCGTCGTTCAGTTATTAACCACTAGGTGGCTGCACATTGATTAATTTTCAATATAAAACCAAAATGTCGTAACTTGCAATAATAGGTATTGATGGCGTTGAACTTACAACGATACGCCAAAAGGGTGTACGAGTGAAACAATACATTTTTCATAATTTACGTTTTGTTATTTTAATATGCACAAGTAAACCAACACAATGTCATATGTGTTAGATTTACGCTCACTGCAGCACCACGCTGATCGACGTACATTTTTCAATAAATGAGTATCATTATTGTCTTGCCGGGACTCGGTCGTTTCATTCACATTACTTCAGTTAAGTACCTACTTCAATCATTTGCATTGCAAATTTGCATCTTTCTATGTCTTTGCATCGTCTTACTTGCATTTATATAAATCCCGCAGTGCAACGTGTGTTAACGGCACACGAGGTAAAGTTTAAATTGTATTAACAGCCCAGAATTCAGCAGCATATAATGTAGTCAAAGTCTAGTCTAAAATTCTACCTATGGAATAAATGATTATTAGACTTTGTAAGTTAAATAATCACAGGTAAAATTTTTACACTTGAAAACGTCATTTTTTAAGCTACTGCTCGTTCACTGTGTCGACTTTCCCGAGAAGAACGAGCAAGAAACTTTAGGTATTGCTCTTTTCAAATAAACTTAAACACATACTCTTCAATTTTGTAATATGATCTTTCAATTAAAGTGCTTTTAATGTAAGTTTTAAATTGAGGAAATGATTATCTTAATATATTCTCCGAAATCTTATTGTAAAAACGTATACAGTTCCCCATAAAAGAATCGTTTATCTTAGTTAAACGAAATCGTGGCACCATGAGTTTGGACTTAGTTGGGAGGTTAATATTATGAAAATCTTCTTTCTTAACGAAATTATGTATATTTTTACGGGCATACAAAATATTTGAGTAAATGTACTGTGAGACATGATACCAGTCTTCTTAAACTTTTCTCTGAAAGAAACCCGAGAACTTAAATGGTACACAGAAGGAATCGTTCGTTTTTACAACACAAATATGGTTTGTATACTTGCTTTAGTAAATGACGTTAACCAGTCAAATGAAGTGAACTAGTACATTGTGTGCTAATAAGTGCGCGTTCAAATTAGCCGCTGTTAGAAGCGCTGCAGCCACCGCGCTGCTGAAGTGCGACTACGTTACGCGATGGATTCTGACGAAGAAACATTACTTTCGCCTAGTTCTTGGGGCACACACTTCACACGTAGGTATTAAAAATGACTCACCTGCTGTTTTTTTCAGTTGTACAGTTTGAAAATTGTCAATAAATTTTTACACGCATTTTCTTATCCAGTTGATGAAAATAACTGCCTCCGTGGCCAAACGGTTACCATGACTGCCACGCAGAGGTCCCAGGTTCGATTCCCGGGCCGGGAGAAATAGTAGTACAATTAGCCTACAATTATTTCTCTCGTGAGTTTGGGTGTAATTTGTAGTTGTCTATGTGTGTGTCCATGGCACCCGCGACACAGGGTTTCCCTAGTGCGGGGCTATGTTGAGTGCGTGCGTTATTTATTATTGATGAAAATCACCGGCGGAACTGCTATCCGCGTTGCAGGGTGTTGTTTGCACTATCCACGAATTCCTCGACGCGATATCATACGTCGCGGTTCACTCGAAGAACGCCTACCTGCAGGTCCCCGAGCCAGGCGGCGTGCTGCGCGCCCAGCGCCGCCAGCGCGCGCAGCTTGCGCAGCACGGCGTCGCGCGCGCGCAGCTGCCGCGCCACGTACTCGCCGCGCAGCTTCAGCGTGGCCTGCGTCACGAACTGCAACCGCCGCTCTGCTTAGCGCTCTCGAGGCGTCGGGTATTAACCAGAAATAGAGACGAAATAAGGGCCACGTGTTCCTGGTAACATGGTATGCCGTGCTGTTCTATTCGGTGGTGTGGGAAAAACAGCAAAACATCTAATTGCAAAACAAACGGAATCACATTTCATCGGTAATTAAATATTAAATATGTAATTTTCGTCCATTATAGCAAAGCTCAAGTTAACTGGTCGATTTCAAGTGAAACAATTGACGACACCCGTCAATTGTTTCGAACTCGGGCCGGCCAATCGGAGCGCAGTTGTCACAGTAATTATATGGCAGAACGTCTCTATTTCTGGTTTATACTCGATGTCTCGAAGCTATCGAACACTATAATTACTACGCGACGAGTGCGGGGCAACATGTTGACCCGTAGGTTTGCCAAAGCTTCCTGCCAGACCATTTACAACTGTAACCTGGGGGTTAACTACGACCAGAAAGCACAAATAGATGGGTTCGCTGCCATCATACGAAAAAGAGTAGCCTCCTTGATGCGCAGAATCCGCGGCACCGGCAGCGACCTCCTGAGTATCATTACTGGAAGAGTCCAAGGTTCATTCCTTGAGCGCTGGACCAAAATTCACACGTACCCTAAACAGAGTCAATATTTTTAATTTACTAACATTAGTGTGTAAGTTTTTGTTTGTATTACTAACCAATTCGGATGTTATAACATTCGAAATAATTTAAATTTGAAATTTCAATTTCTCATAGATATAGATACCTCTAAAAAGTCGTTGAAAAACCAAATACAAAAGATACGACGCAAGCACATAGAAAAATTCGTGAGGTCCGCTGGTTCGTTCCGTGGCTTAGTTGGTATAGCGTCTAGCACGGTATGCTAGAAGACGTCAGTTCGAATCCGGCCGGATCAACGGAATTTTTTCTGAGTATTCGATCTTTGTATTAATAATTATAACAAACTAGTGGAGTAATTCCATATAAAAATAATTGAATATCAATTAAATAAAAAAATTCTGTGTTCCGGTTTGGAAGGGTAAGGGTGCTGGTGAAATTTCAGGCACTTGCCAACTTATGTATCAAGGTGACGGGTGCAGTGGCAGTGCTCTTCGAGTTTTTACGATTTGAAGCTCTGAATGGCGCTGCAACTGTTATGGACAGGCGTGTCGCTTACCACCAGGCCGCATCTTGTTCGTCCCGTCACTTCGTATCATAATAAAAATAATAAAGTTTCATAACGGCTAAACTAACTTCCTCCGACCATCACATACGGTCTATAGAGATAAATGTAAATTTGTTTTTGGAAATATGTTCCAGGACTAAAGCTGTTAAAAACAGTCATTAGGTACCTCCAAAGATTCCTTGGGACTGGGCTCATCTTTCTTGTTAATCTTGAGTATGGGCTGGGACACATCTCGAGTCAAAATTTCTTGAACAATTGCTGTGAATGACAACTTCTGTCTCTGAAAAATATAAATTAAAATGTTTTGTACATACATATATGTTTTGTACAAAAAGGTAAAGAACCTAAGTCCATATTTTAGAATTTGATGTTTTTACAAACATTTTTACAGCAATGCTAAAAATTTCGCAATGGTAAAAGACATTGAGTCCTATCATCGTTTGTTTTTAAATTAACATGTTGACTGTGCACTGGCAATCGGTACTATCTCAATTTTAACAACTTTACAGGATGAACAAAAAAAATTGTTTGCGTCAATTATATAGCATCTGATTTATTAAATAAAAATACGTAGTTTATAAATATATTTATTACATATGTGTAAAGTTGTCAAAATTGAAATAGTACCGGTTGCCAGTTCACAACCGATATTTTGTTAAGTATATTGATTTGAATTGGCGGGAGCTTTTCAATAATAACGTCGATAACTTGTTAACAACGTAATTTGACGAATAACTTTCACTTTAAACAAATGTTGCTTGTAAATTTGAACACAAAAAATAACTTGAAAATTGTCTGATGGGAGAACTCGTCTTTTTCTTCCTCCGAATGACCTTTGAATGAGTTTTGGTTTTGCATGCCCGTGGTCACAGAACAATAAATACAGTAGAAGTGCTTAGTTGGCGTGGCATATGTGCCAACAGTATGTGGAGTTCCACATACTTGAGCTCAGTCCGCCATTTTAGCTTTGTACGTTATGGTCGTGTCAATAATCTCGCGCAACACCCCGAAAATCGTTGAAAATGCCTATTTAGTTTTTTGGAGTGTAAAAAAAACATACAGGCGAATTGAGAACCTCCTCCTTTTTTAAAGTCGGTTAAAAATGATAGTCGCACTTGTAATATTGTCTATGGTGGTATTTCGTATCACTATTAAGCCTTATTTTATTTTATTTTAACACATTTTCAATGTTCGTAATAATTTTTTTCGTACAAGAAGCGAAAGTAAACCTTACACCGCTGCAATATGGTCGCTTCTTTTTTGGAGTACTAAGTAAATATCTCGAATTCGTCGTCGTTCCGCTATTATCAGCTAGATGGCAGCACATTGATTGAAATTTCAATATAAAATCAGAACGTCGTAACTTGCAATAATAGGTAGTGATGGTAGTGAGCTTTTAATGACACGCCAAAAGGTTAAAAGTTTAAATTACATTCACAGTTCAGAATTTGTTATATCTTTTTAAATTTGAAACTACGACCAACCATTATCAAGATTTCACAGTGTTTCAAATTATCAATTAATGGCGACAGCGGTTCTGATAGCAATCGAGGTTTAAGGCACTTCTACTGATTGTTCATCCGTGCCCGTGTCTCTTGACGCCCCCGTGGCGGTCAGTTCGTTTTTAGATTGATATAAAATGCCTAATTAATAGTCTCATTATCTTTAAAACTTTAAGACGCTTTGTTGTAAAAAATACCATTTGGCCATTGACTTACAATTATATGGACGTCGGGTCCGCGCTAAAAAGTGTCCGAACTTATAGGGCGTTAAAATCGTATACAGAGCGTCATTCACGCTCTAGTCTTTGTTTGTTCGACTGACAGCGAAGCAAGCAAAATTAGACAGTACTGCGATGACATTACAATTTAAATTCAACGTTTTAGATTTGTCATATTCCTTGACATGTCACTACGTTTAAATAGGTTGACTTGGGACATTTTTTTCGTATTAGACCCGTCGTCCATTTATTTGTAAGTCAATGCATTTGGCACTTAAAGTTCTTTACTTCACACGTGCAGTTTTTTTAAATGAAATGTAGAGGATGACGTGTACAAGCCACTTACTTCTTTAAGAATGTTGTTGATATCTTCTTTTTCCAAAGCAGGATTCTTAAGTTGCAGTTCTTTGTAAAGTTGTTCTTCTAAATCGTAAGGCTCTAGGGTTCTGTAATAAAAGAAGTATTGTCAACCGGTGCGATCGAAAACAAGATCTTTTAATTATTTTTTTAAATTTCACATATATTAATTTCACACATACTCGTAGTTGGTTAGTTTGTTTTTTTGGTGAGTAGGTAATTGCTAAGTGTTGCGAATATGACATCACCTACATAGTAAAGTTACTAGTTATATAGTTACAATTTAATGCCCATTAATCAACTTAATGCGTGTCTATCGGTGAGGACCTATAATGGCTCTCCATTATTATTTCAGTTTTTACTCTGTAAGATAGCCGTTGGTCTTTCAATAAGTTAAAATAAAATAAAAATAAAATATTGACGATCAAGTGATAAAAATAGCATACTGGGTTTTACAGTGTTACAAGCTATATGGCCATCAACAGGAAAGAGCAAAACGCCGTTTAAAAAATACTGTTTGAATTTTTTCTGGTGTGGTCTCAATTTTAGTACTACTTTTTGCGTTTTTTAAATTTCAAATATTGCAATTTAAATTTAAAGGAAGAAAAGGAGAAAGAACAAACTATGTTTGGTTGTAACAAACAACAAAAAAAAATTTAAGAAAAAAAAATACATTGTGTGGTGATAATTGGTGTAAAAAGGAGTTATTGACTAGGTATTTGTTGAAAAACGTGTGTATACAGTGACTTCTATGTTTTTTACCACAAAAACGAGACGTGGTAGTTGAATTTTTCTTCGTGTTCAATCTTTGCATTATAAATAGCCACCACAAAGGCTTACGAGTGACCATCCAACTGTCACAAGGTGTACACTGTGGAAATGGACAACCCCCCACCACCTGGTTTCGTCATACCTCAAGAGCAACTACACCAGGTTGCGATCTGCGGTGGCGTATATGGAAGTCCTTATAAAAGTGTAAATGGGGTTTCAGAGATGCTAGTCTAACCCAATGCGACTTAGGTGCACCAACACAGCACTTATTGTTGCGCCCCATATGTCCTAATGCGTGTACAAGAGAAGGTCTTTACGCGGCCACGGACAGCGCAGTCAAGGTGGCGACGTTGTCACTTTGTAGGTTATTGAATTTAGAAATAGTACATATACATATAGTACATATATATACAGACTTTACAAATAGTACATAGCTATAACTAACAAATAGTGACATAACGAGTAACCAACACCGCTAACCACAGATTACTTAATCAATTTTCCGATTTTAGTAAATACAACTGCGCTCCTAATTCGTTGGTGTCACTATTCACAAATAACGCTAAGAGTAAATCGGGAGCACATATAGCAGTAATATAATTATGGAGGTATGCATATACAGGTGCCCCTATAGACACTTCGATTGATGATTAATATATCGCACTGCTATTACAATAGTGTTGCAACTCAAAATATGTGAAACTCGAGATTATACTAACGCTGAACATAAAATTTAATTGTCTACACGTCAACAATAGCGTCATTAGAATATTGTAAGAAACAATTGAAAGATATCAAATCTAAACTCAAAATGAGACAAAACTTTTTGTAAGTCTTTACGCAAATATCAGCATAATTGGCGAGTAGAAAATTGTTTACATGTCTGTAATAAACTTTAACCGAGAAGATTTAAATATAAATTTTAACAATCTGTCACGGAAAGTGAGTAATTCGTTTTTCATGGATTCTGAAAAATACACTTTTTGAGTTAGTAGAGAATTCGTTCAAGCCAATGCATCCACTAGAGAAAACATCCTGTACATGTACACACATACACAAACATAACTAATTGTGATAACTAATATCCATTAATTATAATTATTTAATAAAATTCTACCTACTTTAAAAGAAACACACACCGTATCGACCCAATTGATGTCAACGACAGGTGCCCACAGTCATAAGCGTCTATGAGGCTAGTCTACTGCTGCTCGAGTCAGCAAATTGATAGTAATGAATCATGTATCGTTACAATATTAAACTCGATAATTAACTTACTTATGTGTCTTTCCATCGTGTCTATGTATGTCGCAATGTTCAACAGTATATAGAACCAGTTCAACACTTACCAGTTGTTTGTCTCTTAGCGTACATTCACTTACAGAGTCATATCTTTTGTTTTAACCAAACTGAAGTGCACTCGGTTTCCGCCATTGCCGCTGAAGTTACTGCCGTCTCGATAGAGTAAAAAATATAGGCGCTATTTATAAAAATGAATCATCATGCGTGACAGACACCCTTAGACATGGAATATTTTCTTCAAAATTATATGGGACCACTATTGAGGTACCCTCTTTACAACAAGAAAAGAATCATCAAAATCGGTTTACAAATCGCGTCATCGTGTAACATACATAAAAAAAAACAGTCGATGGAGAACCTCCTCCTTTTTTGAAGTCGGTTAAAACAACGGGTGAAGTTTGTTTACTCAGCAAATGATTATCGCGTGATTCGCGCCAAACGTACTATTCAGGGCCGACAGAGTCCTAGAACAAAAGAAGTGTCGACACGATAAGAAGAAGCGTGCCATCCCACCTGACGAGGGCGGTGCCATCGTCGCACAGCACCAGCAGGTGGCGCAGCGGCGGCTGCGAGCCGCACACGCCCGCCGGCGGCCGCAGCGCCGCGGCCGAGCCGCTGGTGCACACCAGGTGCCGCGCCGCCGACGCGCAGCCGCACACGGCCGACAGGCGAGCCTCCGGCTCCGCTGCCATCCAAGCCATCTTTTCACTTCTCATGCTCTTTAAGTTCCTATTTATGCTGGGTGTAGGCTGCATAAAATAGGATTTTATGCTCTAGTGCATAAAATAAAACCCTGCGCCAACAGCCACGCGCATTAGAACTTTATAAAGTTTTACTTTTGTTTTTATAATCCGTATTATATTAAAAAAAATAAAAAAGTAGGCAATAGTAATTCTAATAAGCTATGATAAATAGAAATGCACAAAAAATAAAAGCTTGTAAAATATAACTGAGCAAGAGAATGAGCAACCTGAGTCACGCGTAGAAAAAAAAAGTCGTAAATTAGCGGGATTGTTGTAATTTTACATTAAATTTTAATTAAATAATCGTTTATTTGTAACATTGCTGTTTAACTTCTTCGCAATCGAAGTAAAAAGCAGAGTGTATAACTCGTTCATAAAACCCATTCTACCCTCGACTAAAGTGTCCATCCTCGCCTTCGGCTCGGGTGGATATACTCGTCTCGAGTAAAATGACGCGTTTTATGCACTTGTTGTACAATCTACAATTGTTTGTTTTGGAAAAATATTGAAGAAGGCCGTAGAGGCCTACATTTATTTCTCTCGCGAGTTTGGGTGTAATTTGTGGTCACCCAAGTGCTACGTAAGGCAGATTCCCTTGAGAAGAATGAGCACGAAACTCTAGGGGTTGCTCTGTGTACATGTACATTTGAATACATTTATCATTTACAATATTTATTATTATTACTTTTTTATAATATCAAGTAACGGGACGAATAAGACGTGCGCCTGATGGTAAGCTACACAGGCGTGTAGTTCATAACAGTTGCAAACTCCACTCCACTCAGAGCTTTAAATCGCAAAGGTCTTAGGGGCACTTCTACTACGCCCGTCACTCTGACACATAAGTTGAAAAGTCCCATGTGTCCGTAATTTCACCAGCACCCTTACCCTTCCAAACCGGAAGGCAGTAATGCCATATTACTGCTTGGTGGCAGAAATAAGTAAGATGGAAGTACTCCCTGGACGAACTCTTTCCAAGGAGCTGCTATTTCAAACGTCTTAGATTGAGAATACCTGCAGGAGCTAAATGGGTCATACCGCAGATTTTAGGCATCCATCCAACCTTTAGTACAAAGTTTTTGTTTCACTATACATTTTTGTTTTAAACCTCATAAAAGACAAATTTTCAATATCAACTAGAAACTTATTACTGAAGCGTATATATACCACCATTAAATGAATTTATGACTGTGAAGACGACTTCCAGAACAGCTAGTTTATTTTTATTCCTTGTATTAATTGTTAGTGTCATTTTGTATTAATAACCATGTAATGAAACTCCAACAGTACCACTCCACCCCTATCTTGTGGATAATCCAAGTCTTCACACGAAGCGTTTTGCTTCCGCATTTATGTGGCAAACTGCTAAGGAGTGGAATTCCCTGCATGCAGACTTGTTTCCTGAACGATATAATGTGAGCCTTTTCAAGGCAAGAGTGAAAAGGCATTATTTAGGCGTGTTTATTTAGGCTCCATCGTGGACCTCATCATCACTTTCCATCAAGTGTGACAGAGGTCAAATACGCACATGTTTTTTAATAAAAAAAATGTTATTGAAGAGCCCTCGTATAATACGCATTTAACAGTGCGTGACATCAACAAGATTATTTTTTAATTATAACTTTACTATGACCTCGCCGTATTGTAATTCAGTGGTGCTGTCATCTAATAACATTGTGTCAAATTGAAGAGGACTATCTGAGATGAAGAGTGGCGTCTCTTTAAACACGGTTCTGGCAGGATACCAGCGCCGTGGGAAACCGCGGCATTTATGTTGAGCCAGCGCGTTTTCACTGACCATGACTTCCAAAACTATTAACTTTAATTAGTTATATGAATAGTTATACGTTCCTTTTTATTGTAAAAATTTGTTATTTTAAGTGGTTCTATATAATAATAATTATGGTGTTAGTTTTGGTGGATCCTATGTAAATAAGTTGTCATGGTCATGTCATGGAAGTGAATAAAGTTTTTATCTATCCATCTTCTTTTTACACGCAAGCACGCACGCACGCACGCACGCACGCACGCACGCACGCACGCACGCACGCACGCACGCACGCACATGGCTTTCATGCTCTTATTAGAAAAAGAGTAGCTTCCTAGCCATTGTGGTAAATAGTTTGGAGTGTCCCATTCAAACCCACTGGACGAAGTTACATGTAAGATAAGCATAGTGCATGATATATTATTATTTCATAGCGTCTAATTTTTCTTATTTTTATTTTGTTTTCATTAATTGAATTTCTTTTGTATTTAATTTAATTTATTTGTATTTATTTTTATTTATTTTATGTCAGTATTTTGTTAATGTGATGTATATGTGCGCTTGTTAATTTTACAATTTTGTATATGGATGTAGAAATAAATGATTTGAATTTGAATTAAATTTGTCCTGCTGGGAATCGAACACGGTATTTCTTCAGCGTTCGGTGGTAGCCGCTGCGCTCCCGAGCTTTATTACATATATAAATATATAAAAAAAATAGGAGTGAAGAACATACCATCGTCACTGAGGGCGTAATCTTTCAAATTACGTACTATGGGCAGCGTCATGGCGTGTACACCGCCTGCGTGAACGCAGACATATGTGTTGTTTGTGCACTGTAACGTAAAAAAATCGTACATGTACAAAAACAGTTCATAACACAAGTTTTAAAATTCTTTTGTATAACACAATTACAGATGTAATTAATAAATATTGAACATCGGGAACCACGAATATTTCCGAAAGGTATTGACGCGTCTGTTGTCATACTAATGGCTTATGTATTTATTAATATAGATAAAACGTTTAATATTCCCACAGTTATACACAAGAATATCAAATAATAATAATAGTTTTTTTTTTTTAAAAAAAGCCCCTAACTCGAAAGTTCGTGTAATTACATCTATTTGATAAGTTTTATTGAAATCAGTTACCAGAAAGTGCACGAAATCGGATTCATCCCCTAGTTTGCCACCCTTAGAAGTGGAAAATTTTCTTTAAATTTAAATAGGATCAATACTGAGGTCATTCCAACAATAAAAGAATCAACAAAATCCGATCACATATAATCGTGTGAGTTTTCGCGTAACATACATAAAAAGAAATACAGTGAGCTGAGAACCTCCTCCCTTTTTTGAAGTAGGTTAAAAAAATTTCAGCTGTCACATTCGAGGTTCGCACAATGCGAACTTAACTTTCTTTTTTGTGATACTAAATAACGGGACGGACAAGTCGTGCGTCAAATGAAGAGTCGCAGGGGCCATCCTAGTTTGCGTTTAGAGTAATAATATCCTATAAATTTTAGTAGCTTCTTGTGAAAGAGTTCGTCCAGGGAAGTACTGCCACCCTACCTATTTCTGCCGCCAAACGGTAGAGCATTACTGAATTCCGGTGCTGATGAAATTACAGGCACTTGGGACTTGTCAACTTATTTCTCAGGGTGACGGGCGCGGTGGCAGTGGCCTAAGGGCCAGTGCACATCAAAATCTACATAAACGTTACACATAATGAAAATATCGTATTCAATTTAGTGACCATAAGGTGTATAGAAAATACAATAACAATAATAAAAAATTGTGGGTATACGTGCATGTTACATGAACTGTAACTATGAAACATGCCTACATTGCATCTCCCGTGGAAACATCGAGTGACACATATGTTGAGCAATCTACATGCAAGCCGTGTGGCCGCCTGGCATTTTCCGTGAAGCAGCGATTGCCACATGCAACCCGCCTGATTTGCCGATGGTGCATCTTCGCCTCGTGGAAAAAGCGACCGGCGTCGCGGCCCCTGATTCACTCTGGTTCTCACATCGACCGAGCATAGTACTTAATTAGAAATAAGGATTATATTGTAATTTCTTTACTTCATAAATTAAATTGTTTTAAATCTTTTTCGGTTTTTTTTAGTCCTGCGGCGGCGTCCAACATAATTTGCATGATAGAAATGGGATAAGCTCGCCTTTGTACACTGACGTTTTATTTCTTTGTTAAATATTTGTAAATTGATTTGTTGCGCAATAAAGTGTTTAGATACATACATACATTTTAATGTCCATTGGGCATTTAGCGCTCTTCCCGTTTTAGTTCGCTGGGTCTTAGGAGGTTAAAGTTCTGAGTGGCACTGCCACTGTTATGGACAGGCGTGTCGCTAACCACCAAACACATATAAACCACAGACGTTTTGTCATTTGGTATCATAAAAAAAATCTATTCTAGTTCAATTCCTCGGGTATATTTGCGGAGACTCACACAGATAGGGCGCCTCGATGCTATGCCACCTGCGCGACAGCACCAACCGCATTTTTCTCGCCGATGTTCGCGCATTGGATACGACTGCATACCGTCGTATAATGCTATTAATGTTTATTTGTTTTTGTGTTGCTTTGTTTGTATTGTCTAACTAATTCATAGACTTAAACACTTTGTATTTTACCAATAATCTATAATATATGATTATTATTATTATATAATAAACAAGAGAGCTTACCGCGTACAGGTGCACCGGATAGGAGTGCTGCAGCTCCTCTGTGTTGAGTACAATGTTCAGTTCCACTGTTTCTACCACGTACAGAGCGTGAGTGTCACCGTCTTCTTTGTCAGTTGACTGAAATGTAGAAATACACCAAGTTGTTTACAACTGCTGACGATGAGCCGCATTGCATTAAGGGGTTGGTAGTCAACCCCTTAAGTTCAAAGTCAGTCTGAAGTTCTGCGTGAAACATTCCTATCCTAATTATATAGAAATTTTAAAACAACTAACGAGCTGTAGAAATGGAATCATAGCGAATAATATTTAAACTGGGACTGGATGTCTTATTCTCAATGTCAGGGTGGTTTTCGAGTTTCACATTTAGGCCCTTGTTACGCAGCAAGCAGTAAATTGAAAAAAAAAAAACAGAATTGTAATAATGAAAATAAGTACAATTATCAATTGTAGATATCGAGTATATAACCAGAAATACAGACGAAATGTCATTTAATTTGTTTGAAAACTATTCTGCCATATCATTACGGTGACAACTGCGCTCCGATTGGCCAGCCTGAATTCGAAACAATTGACGGGTGTCGTCAATTGTTTCACTTCAAATCGACCAGTTAACTTGAGCTTTGCTATAATCGACGTAAATTGCAAAAATCACATATTTAATATTTAATTACCGATGAAATGTGATTCCGTTTGCTTTGTAATTAGATGTTTTGCTGTTTTTCCTACACCACCGAATAGAACAGCACGGCATTGTAAGAGATATTATCTTTATTACAATAAATACAGAATATTTTTTGGAATATACGGAGACGAACACCCAGGTCGGTAGTTGGCCTGTCTATATTTCAGTGCAAACGAGAGTTGATATTTATAAGAGCTGTATCGCTAATACACATAGGAATACACAGCCCTTATTTCGTCTCTATCTGGGTATATACTCGATCATCCCACCTTTTTATCGCCTTTTCTCCGGTTCCTGGACACTCGTTTTTAAATTTTGAATCATTTAATTCCTTTGCCAGGCCATTCTGATTTTCTTTTGTTCCATCGTCAGTCCCTGCTCGAACGCGGCGGCGAACAGTGTTGTTTAAATTTCAATTCCTTTACCAGATTTGTAATAACTACTACTAATCATGTGCCAATTTCAATACCAATCTGAAATTCAGTATAACTCGGTCCTTTTGGGTTAAGTGTCTACTTTGTATTCATCCATAAGCATATCCATGTAATTAAGTATACCTTTAATTAAATTTTTAATGAATTGATATTCAATTATTTTTTGTGAAATTACTCCACTAGTTTGTTATAATTATTAATACAAAGATCGAACATTCAGAAAAAATTCCTTCGATCCGGTCGGATTCGAACCGACGTCTTCTTGCATACCGTGCCAGACGCTATACCAACTAAGCCACGGAACGAACCAACGGACCTCACGAATTTTTCAATGTGCTTGCGTCGTGTCTTTGTACTTGGTCTTTCAACGACTTATTAGTCGTAGCGCCATCTATGTCGGTTCGAATCCGACCGGATCGAAGGAATTTTTTCTGAGTTTTCGATCTTTGTATTAATAATTATAATAAGTATACCTTTTTTTCTCTTTACATCAACTTGAAATAAATTTCCGTGGACCTGAAGTTTTCTTATTTTATTGCCGTGAATACCTGGTCGCGGCTCATTAGGCTTTACAACCTTTTCAAGGTTAAGAGTTGATGGTGGTGTAATGGTTGTTGTTTGCATACGGTGTGCTGCCCAACGACCAACAATAGTTGGTCGGTGGTTTGCAGGGTACTGTTGGCGTGTGGCGTGTTGGTTGTTGTTAGTCTGGGCGTTCTATTTGTTGTTGTCTGTGTTGGTGTAAACGCTTACATACGTATGTAACTTACATTGGGTAGCAGAAGGCAGTGATACAACTGCGCGGAACATGTGGCGACTACGACGAGAGCTGGACCGTCGGTGTCTCCCAGAGCTACTATGGAACATGAGTCTGTGCCATAGTTATCGTCGGCTGGAGGGTACATTGCCAGCGGGCCAGTCAGTTTCGTCTGGAGAGGGCTGGAAATTACAAACAAAGTAAATTAAATCTGATAACATGAGTAAGCTCGAATAATATCTTAACATACATGCAACCTGGATAAAACTTTGGTTTTTGGTTTGTCTGTAACATTGAGTATATAACCAATAATATAGACGAAATAAGAGCCACACATTCCTGATAACTCATCAGTGACACGTCACTTATAAATATCAACTCTCGTTTGCACTGAAATTGCAAATTAGAAAGCTGAAATAGTACAGCGCCAACAACTGACCTTAATACGTCTCCGTATATTCCAAAAATATTACGTATTTATTGGAATAAAGATAATATATCTAACAATGGCGTGTTGTTCCAACCTTGGGGAAAAACAGCAAAACATTTAACTACAAAACAAACGGAATCAAATTTCATAGGTAATTAAATATGAAATATTGCTCAAGTTAACCGGTCGATTCGAAGTGAAACAATTGACGACACCCGTCAATTGTTTGGAATTCGGGCTGGCCAATAGGAGCGCCGTTGTCGCAGTAATAATATGGCAGAATAATCTTCAAACAAATTAAATGACATTTCGTCTCTATTTCTGGTTATATACTCGATGGTCTGAAACTTGGACTTGTGTACAAATGTGACGGGACGAACAAGTAGTCACGATTTGGCGGTAAGCGATACGCATGTCCATAGCAGCTGCTGTGCCACTCCTGTATCGTAAAGACCTGAGGCACAGGACAAGTTTTAAGTGTCTGTAATTTCACCAGCACTCCTTAAAACTAGAACGCTGTAACGGTCACATTACTGTTTGGCGGCAGAAATAAGTAAGGTGACCGTACTACTCTGGACGAGTTCTTTCACAAGGAGCTCCTCAACTACATCCCACTGCTGCTTTTACGTTCAAATGTGGTTCTGTGATTTACTGGCAGACATTTGAATATAATTTTTAAATACTTACTTTTTAGAGTCCAAGTCGCAATGCATCATATAAACATCCCCATTGCCCCTTAACACCAATAACGCCGCACCACAAGCCGTGAAGTCCACCGCGGTATCGCCAAGACTGTCCAGTATGGTCCGACCGGCGAGCGTGCTTGACGGTTTCGGCCCGATTGTGAAGATTTTCACAAGTTTCGGCCCGGATTTTAAGGCTATGTTGTAGAGCCTGGAATGTTATTAATAAAGGTTTTAAAAATTCTTATTAATTTTAATTAAATTTTATTGAATGCTAGAATGTTTAACCACAATGATATTCAATTGTTTTTTTGTGAAATTGTTCCACTAGTTTGATATTTATGATACTACGGCTTTTGAATAGTAAACGTAAACTCCATGAAGCCTATCTGGATTTTGTGGGTTCATAGTATAATAATAACGTACACACTCAACATAGCCCCGTACTAGGGAAACCCTGTCATCTCACCTCTTTGTATCGCCTCTTTCCGCTTGTATCCTATCATTTTTTTATTTTACATGTATTTAAATTTTAAATTTGAATTGTTCCATCTTCCCTCACTTTCTCATTTTGTTTTCGTACCACGGTCACTCCCAGCTCGACCGCCACAACAGTCGGAGCTGTTAATAAGCTAATCATGTGTAACAATTTATAAGTCTACAGCCTTTATGTATCTATTTCTGTAATTCAGTTTCTCGGCTCATTTAGGGATAAGTGCCTTAATAATAAAGTGTAGGGAGTGTTTTATACTGTTATACCTGTTTTTTTACATTTAACTTTATATTGTTACAGCCTTTCTTTAAACTTTACTTCTTTAATAAATTTTGTGGACCGGAAGTTTCCCATTTCATTGCCGTGAACCTGTTCACGGCTAGTTAGGGTTACAACCCTTTCAACCCTGTGTCGCGGGTGCCATGGACACACACATGACAACCAAAAATTACACCCAAACTCAGGAGAGAAATAAATGTAGGCCATACAAATACTTCTCCCGGCCCGGGAATCGAACCTAGGACCTCTGCGTGGCAGTCCGGCGAGGTAACCGTTCGGCCACGGAGGCAGTTTTTTATAATTATTAAATAAAGATCACAGAGAACACTTAGAAAAAGTGAACTTCGATCCGGTTGGATACGAACGTTGGTTCTCCCAGCAAACCGTGTCCGACGCTACGTCAATTAAGAACGAACCAACAGACCCCACGAATTTTTCCATGTCGCACTGCTGTTACAATAGATTTGTAACCCAAAATCTGTGAAATTTAATATTATATCATTACTGAATGTAGAATTTCATTCTTTACACGTCAAAAGAACCGTCGTTAGAATATTGTAAGAAATAATCAAAAGATATCCACTTAACTCAAAATGAGACACACTTTGTGTGAGTGAGTAATCCTTATTCAAAAATATTAAATTATTATTTCCATTTCATTTTTAAATACAATTGAGAAATTATTTAAGTGTCTATAATAAACTATAATATACGTAAATTTTAATGTTTTTTGTCGGAAGTTAGTAATTCGTTTGTCATCGATTCTGAGAAAGTCCACTTTTTGAGTTAATACATTATTGTATTAACAGTGCGATGTGTTTGTTGCAGATCTTTGTCTTGTTTTTTAACGACATCTTTGCCGTCTTTTTCTTAATGTTTGCAATTTCTTTCACATAATTTCTTTGTAGGTAATTGAAAAATGTTAGCTAAGAAGCGGTCCTGCAGCGAGATGGGTAGATGACATCGTCAAACCACGGGACGCCTATACTCAGTAAAGGGTTAGAGCTGTTTATGATGATCGTAACAAAAAAAACCTCAATTGTGACTCTTTTCTTCTTCTTCTCTTATGATTCTTAAAAAAAAAATCTTTGTATTTAAATAAGAAAAATCATCATTACAAATAGAAAATGGTGTCTTATATCGATCAATGTAACAAAAAAGGACAACATTATATAATCGGAAATTTATTTGATTAATATTAATATTATAATTCTGATCGATACTTTAAGAAATATCTCGTCTTTGTTGTCGGAGTAGCGTGTGTAGAAGTTCAATTTTAGAGTCGGAACTGGAACTAACTTTGTTGAATTAGTATGAATAGAGTCGGCAGACGTGATTTTACGAAGTACCTACAGTTTAAAAAAAAACGACCTGATGAACGACTATCATTAAGTCCATGTACGCTATAAGTAAAAAAAGTTTTACTACCCTATAGTAATAGAAAGGATAAACCGTTCCAGGAGGTAACATTCATCGGTGCAAATAATATTTCTTCAACTATACCCGCCACTGCATGTCAATGCACATACGCGTTCTGTATATTTTGAATTCGATATATCAGCATATTGTTTGTGTCTTTATCAGAAATTACCTGATAGTATTATCGGAGACGAGAACTAGAAGATGCGACAGCGATTTTGGATGCCACTGCACTCTTCGGACTTCAGCTTGGGAGTACAGGAACCTCTCGTCTAGGGAGTGGCTTCTGGAAAAGAAAAACACATTTCGATAAGGACAAATTTACTGAAGTTTCGTTTATGATATCAACTGACGGGACAAACAAGTCAAGCGTCTGGTGAGTCATGCGACACGCTTATCTGTACAGTTGCAGAGCCACTCAGAGCTTTACAACGCAAAGATCTGAGGGGCACTGCCAATGGGCCCGTCACTCTGAGACATAGGTTGACAGTTGAATTCTCTTCTTATACAGATTCTGGTACCTTGGTAAAACTAAGACAAAAATCTCGCTCAATGAATCTGAATCAATAGATTAATAATAATAATAATATAATAACGCACACACTCAATATAGCCCCGCACTAACACAACACATCCTGAGTCGCGGGTGCCATGGACACACACAGAGAAATCCACAAATTACATCCAAACTCACGAGAGAAATAACTGTAGGCCATACAAATATTTCTCCCGGCCCGGGAACCTGGGACCTCAGCGTGGCAGTCTGGCATGGTAACCGTTCGGCCACGGAGGCAGTTAATATAAGACTGGCAGAAAGGAATCTGAATGACATTGATAATATAAAACACCTTGTCTGAAAAATACTTGAAAAGTGGACAGTAAGCTATACTATACTGAATGTCAAGGGAGGAATGAATGGTAAATAGGTATAAACTGGGGGACCCCTTAAAATATATTATTTGATTTTTAAAGTATAACTAATACAAACGTCTTACGACAAGGACTCCGTTGAAAACGTATAAAGGTCTATTATAGCTTTTTTTTATTATTAACGGGACCAACAAGACCTGCGCCTGGTGTCCATAAGGTTGCAGAACTCAAGAGCTTTAAATCGCAAAATCCGATACTGCGCCCGTCACCCTGAGACATAAGTCGACAAGTCCAAACTCCCCTTACCCTTCAAAACCAGAATGCAGTAATGACCGCATTACTGCTTGGCGGCAGAAATAGATAAGGTGGCAGTACTTTCCTGGACAAATTGGCCAACATTACTTTTTTTGGTGATTTTCTGTTATTCAACAATTGTATTATGTTTGTAAACAGCCATATGTTTTTTGCTAATATTGTACTCCCCGAATTTTGTTAAAGAAAAGAAACAAATAAAAAACAAAATAGAAACAGAACAGGTCCAAAAATTAAGTTGGTGTAGTATTTTTTTATAATGCTTGATGATTGAATCATTGACGGGACGAACAAGTCGTGCTTCTGAAACCATCAGGTGTTCTGTACCATCAGATCTGATGGGCAGTGCCACTGCGCCCGTCACCCAGAGACAAAAGTTGACGAGTCCCATGTGCCCGTAATTTCATCGAAGGTATCGGTCTGATTGCGTGCGGAATACTAAGGTATTACGAAGCACATTTTTTACTCTGAACTTGAAGAGGGCAAGCGTAAGCGTGGCAGACAACTCCTTAGGTACAAAGACGTGCTGAAGCGTCACGTGCAATATAGAGCCTTCGCAATGGGAGAAGCAGGCTGCCAACCTGTATGGAGGGTGCTGGTCAACTCCAAAGTCCGTGACTTTGAGGATGAACGGCGCTCGGAACTTGATTTCAGGCGTAACGAATAGAAAACCCGGCAATCAGTTATAATTTTGAAAATGGTAAAAAAAAATATTTAAAATTTTGTGAAAATGGCTCACAACCTCGCAGTGCCCGAGGACCTTTACCCAGAAGATTGGCTGCATAAGCCCCATGCGAGCCCACGATCCGCCACTATTGGAGCTGAAGTGGTCGCCTTAGCTGAAATTGGCTGGGAGCATATATTTGTCGTATTTCAATCTAATTAACTTTTGATACAAATAGGAAAACAGTAATGGTGCCTTTAAATTAGACTCCCGTGGAAGCGCGCTGCAGCGGCGCGTTACGTAGCGCTTTAGAAATTTTAAGTCACTAATTGTGACTACATACGTGGCGTGCACGTGTCACGACAGTGGCGCTGCAACGCATCTAAATGTTGTATGAAACTATGGAATATTAATGGCGCGGGTACAGCGCCACTGTGGTGCTACTGTAGCCCTTCTATATTACAATCGTCTAATTTGGAGGCGCCCTAACACTTTCTTTTTATTAAATTTGTATTGAATTGATACTCAATTATTTTCTGTGAAATTACACCACTTAATACAAAGATCGAACACTCAGAAAGAAATCCTTCGATCCAGCCGAATTCGAACCGACGTCTTCTAGCAAACTGACGATATACTTTCCTAGATGGCGCTACGGCTAAAAAGTCGTTAAAAACCAAATACAACGATCCGACAAACAAGTACATAGAAAAATTCGTGAGGTCTGCTGGTTCGTTCCGTGGCTTACTTTCTTTTTATGTTACCGGTTGCGGTACGGTGTCTGCCCGAGAAACGTGTTGAATGAAAACTTACAACGTTAAAAGTTAAAGTAAAAGTGAAGCTTATAATAAAATTCCAGAGTTCAGGGAAAATGCTACATGCCACAGAAACAGTTTTTGTTAACGCCAGAAGATGAACCCCATTTCTATCTTTTCAAAGCCAATGGCTGCAAAATCACGCGGTTGAGTTAATCTCGTGAAAAACGATTTAAAACAACCGCAGGAAGAAAGGCCGATGTCTAAACGCACGATTAATCCTAACCACACGTCGGAACAAAAAAGAAAAAAACAAAATGGCCGCCGTAATCAAATTATTATCAGAGCTGAGGTGAAGGCGAGACCACAGATGTATTTTACGTAGATATCAGTAAATCAACTCTATTCAGTTCTAACCAAGCTGAACGTTAGTCCGATGGAAGCGTAGATATTTGAGGGAAGTCATCCGATACAGAAGGTACTCAATAGCAAATGCAATACAAGACATGTCGTTCAATACATACTACTAAGTATGACAATAAATCGTGTTATGTAGACCCTAAGACACGGTTATGCCATCATTTTCTTTCTGCCAACTTTGGTCGGTCAAGTAATTAAATGTACGAAGTGCGTACGTCTTAACTTTTGAGACCGACGTATTACTGAACAAGACTAGTGTTAAGAAACGCATAAAAACACGTCAGCTTTTACTGAAATTCCCGAAAAAAGTTATGTTGCAGTTTTGTCAACAGAGATTGACTTAAATGAAAAGAAATCCTACCGCAATATAAATAACGCAACAAATTGGATAAAGTTTTCCAACTCCGTCATCTTACCCTGTGTCAACACAAGGGTGAGACCACAGCAGTGTTTATCACAGGAATAATGAATGAAGGTTTTTTTCGGCCGATAATGGCCGCGTGGTTTGGATAGCACCTGAACCAACGGGAAAGGGGTTACAAAGCCAAAGGCGGTATCTTTTTGCGCCCTTTTTTTTTGGGAGACTTGTACACCGCGCGTGTGTGGTATTTAGTTCAATTTATGTAATGACATATAATTACATAAAAAAATCATCGAGGAACGCTGTGCGTTTAAATTTACTGATGCTTGAAAGAAGTTGCTCTTATCTCATATAGACAGGGCACTCCAGAAATATTTGCGAAGCTTTTAAGGGGTGATTTTATTCATCAGTACGAGTTACTTTTATTAAGGAATCCTTAAAATCCACTCGACCTCAGCTTTTGGAGCAACTATATCTATATTCTGGTAAAAAGTACAGCTCCTTGTCAAAGACTTCGTTCAGGGAAGTACTGCCACTTTACCGATTTCTGCCCCCAAGCAGTAATGTGAGCATTACTATATTCCGATTTTGAAGGGTAAGGGTGCTGGTGAAATTATAGGCACATGGGACTTGTCAATTCATGTCTAGGTGACGGGCGCAGTGGTAGTGCCCTTCGGATCTTTGAATTTAATGCTCATAGTTCTGCAACCGTATGAACAGGCGTGTCGTTTACCACCAAGCACACGACTTGTTCGTCCCGTCATTTGATATCATAAAAAAAGAAACCTTTATACGACTTCAGCGGCGTTCTTGTGGTAAGATGTTTGTATTAGTCATCCTCCAAAAATCACATAACATATTTTAAGGGGTCACCCAGTTTATACCTATTTACCATTCATTCCTCTCTTGACATTCAGTATAGGTTTCTGTACACTTTTCAACAATTTTTCAGACAAGATGTTTTACATTATCATAGATTCCTTTTGGAGAATCAATTAATTCAGAATCATTGAGCGAAATTTCTGTTCTAGTTTTACCAAGGTACCAGAATCTGTATAAGAAGAGCAATCTATACTGTTTTGACGCACATTTTCCTAGGTTATGTATTGGGGATATGACAAAATCTTACGGGATAGAGTTTGTCCAAGGAAGTAAGGAAGTAAGTAAGGAAGTAAGTTCTGTCGCCAAGTAGTAATGTGAGTATAATTGCGTTCCGGTTTTGAAGGTTAAAGGCGTTGGTGAAACTACAGACAAATGACACTTGTAAACTTTATGCATTGACCTACACTGTATGTCTGATGACAGCCCAGTGGCAGTATCCCTCAGATCTTTGCGATTTAAAGCTCTGAGTGGCACTGCAACTACTATGGGTAGGGGTGTTGCTTATCACATGCGCACTTCTTCGTTCCGTCACTTGACTATACATATGGATACAAATGCATCAGAATACAGATGTAGCGGCCATTTCGTAAATGTCTGACTCCAATAATTGACCGCGTGAAATCTCACGGGTAAACACAGTTACGTGTATGTTGAACGTCGAATCAACTTGTGAATAAGACGTTTAATGATATTGAAAAAGTGAAAAGATGTGGCAGTAGATAAGAAATTTTTGCTGAGCGTGCACTAGGGTACGATCTTAGGACCCTATTGTTTTAGAAAACTTTTGACGATGTGTGATATGTTACATTTAACGTATTCTATGTTAATATATGTATATTTAATTAGTCAAACATATATTATAATGCAAATCAGGTGAAGATTAAGACGTCAAAACTTCATTTGTAATATTTTGAATACTTTTAATTCTTTTTGTCTTCTCTTTTATTTCGAACAGACGTTTGCTTTCTGGTGTAAAATAAATATATCCAAATTTAAATATCACACTTCCTATATGATATCCT